AGTTTCTGCCCTAAACAAAGTCTTCCAGATTTCTTTTCCAAATGGAATTAAATCACCAAATTAATTCCCTAGTGCAAGTTTTGTTTGTTTGTTTCTGTTTTTTGTGGTTTTTTAGAGTCTTGTCTCTGTATTAGCAAACTAGCCCATGCCCCCATGTTATGAGATAAGCCAGAGATAATAAACATCTGGGTCTGGGGGTTGTTTCATGCTAGAGGATTTACTTTGAAGGTGGTGAGAACTTGAATAGACTGGGAGGATGGACAGGGGCCTTTCAAGGCTACTGGACCAGGGAAGGAGGCTGGAGAGGGCAGAGCTATTTCTCAGGGTCTATGAATAAAGTAGCAGACTGGTTCATGTAACAGAAGCGCATGAGATGAGGCTGGAGAGCTAGGTTTGTTCCCGAGCATGTAGCTAAGCTTCAGATTTGAAAACAAAGTTTTTTCTTTAAAAAAAAAATGAGTACCTGCTGTATGACAGCTTTGTGCCCCAGAAAGATGGTAAAGAGGAGAACCCCAATGAAAGAACATTTCGTGGGGAAATAGAAAAGAGATTAATTTAAATTCCAGCAAACATTAGAAATATGCAAATCAATCAGAAAAAAAAATACATAAATCAGACTATTACAAGGCTCTGTGCATGAGTAGAATGGGAAGAGAGTCAGAGTGAAGAGCATTTAAATACAGTGAGGGCAGCCTTAGGAGTCAGGCTTTTCTGCTGAGTAACTCCTTGAAATTCACATTCCTCAGGCTTCATAACGGATTTGGGCCCTATAACCTAATTGTGTCAGATAGTGAGTGTGTGAGGGGAGGACTGAGAAAGCATATAGAAACACTGGATATGGACTCCTGGACACAGTTCACAATAGGTTTAGTATCAAATTCCCAAGACATCAGCTTCTGAGCCTCTGTCTTAACTTAAGCACTTCAACTTTGCTCTTTCTCACCAGAACCCTCAACACTTTCCTCTCCACAGTTCCTTGCAAACAGACCCTTCATAGACTTAGTTTTCTGAAAACAAAACAAAAACCTAAACTGAAGGGAAGTTCAGCTCTTCCTTTCATGCTTGTTGTCTTAGTTTTATTTCTATTTCCTTTAGTTTGTAGGCAAGGAAATGAACTAAAAATTTTGTTTGGGTTATTTTCAATGTATTATCTGATAAAAGGCTTATATCCAGCATTTATTAAGAACTCTCACAAATCTATAATCAACCTAGTTTTTGAAAAATGGGCAAAGACTTTAAAGAGTAAACACAAATGGCCAATAGCATATGAAAATGTGCTCACCATCATTAGTCATCATAAAACCATGAGATATCACTTCACACCCACTAGGATGACTAAATTTAAATAGACTCATAATACCAAATGATGGTGAGGATGTAGAGCAACTGGAACTTTCATATTGGATTGGCCAAAAAGTTCATTTGGTTTTTTCTGTGAGATGGCTCTGGTATGCTTAGTTGTCTTTAACTTCATTCAAAACAATTTTGTTAGACTATTTTGTGACAGCTTTCATATCAGTGTGCATTTTTTAAAAAAACTTACCAAAATTGGTGAATTTTTGTGTTGCCATCTTAATATTGAAGAAAATATACATTTTCAGCATGGTATGCTTTATTATTTCAAGAAAGGTAAAAATGTAACTGAAACGCAAAAAAAGATTCATGCAGTTTATGGAGAAGGTGTTGTGAATGATCAAACATGTCAAAAGTGGCTTGCAAAGTTTCATGCTAGAGATTTCTCTCTGGACAATGCTCCACGGTAAGGTAGACCAGTTGAAATTGATAGAGATCAAATCAAGACATTAATTGAGAACAATCAACAATATACCAAGAGGGAGATAGATGACATATCCAAATCAATGAAGTTGTTGGTGGAAATGAAAATGTGTCTTATGTTTTACAGGAAAAGCTAAATGAACTTTTTGGCGAACCCAATACATGCCTATTGGGAATGTAAGATTCCTGTTGGAAATGTTCAACATATACCTACCCTATGACTCTACAATTACACTCCTAGGAAGAGAAATGAAAATCTATGTCCACAGAAGGACTTGTTTGAGAACTTTCACATTAGCCTTATTCATAATAGCCAAATGCTGGAAACAATCCCAAAATTCACCAGGCAGAGAATCAGTAAACAAATTGTGGCATATCTGTACAATAGGTAGCAGTTGCAAAGAATGAACTGCTGATACACACAACATGGGTGAATCTTAAATACAGTGTGTTGAACACAAAAAGCCAGACCTAAAAGAGTACATTCTGTGTACTCTTTTAAAAGAACAAGAACAGGCTAAACTACATCTTTGATGATGGAAATCAGAAAGTGGTACCTGAGTGGGGGTGGGGTGGGGGGACAGGAAGGGGGCACATGTAGACTCCCTAGGGTGATGGAAAAGTTCATATTTTGTTTTTGGTGATGGCTACATGGGTGTAAAAATTGTCAAAACTCATAGAACTAATGCACAATGGGGCAAAAGTAGGTTTACAGTTGTGAGTATGCAAAACACAGAGGTTATTCTTGTATTACTATTTATTAAGTATTGTATTATTTTCCATATGAACAACTGTAAACTTACTTTTGCCCTACTCTGTATATGTATCTTATTGTATATATTATACTTTAATCTTTTGTAAGACAAGAAGGAAAACATATTTATAAGCCTAGTCTGTGTAGACCTATTCATCCTATAAGTTGTAAGTCATTTATCTCTCTTGTCAGTTTAACTCCTTCTTTTGTTAGAGAATGAAGTACTTTTCAAAGATGGATACAACAAAAACCTGTTTTGCCTGCCAACCTGACCCCCATGGCCTCCCCACAATAAGTACTGTAGATACTAGGTTTTCCTAGTATCTACCTAGTAACTAGGTTTGACTCCACTGGATTCCTTAGTTGACCTAAAAAGATGTGTGGTCATGAGGTGGGGAGCCAGGACAGTGAAGATGGTATTTCTGCAGTTCCCCCATCTCTGCGTCAATGACAGTATCTACACTTTCAATGAAGGAAGAACAAAAACATGGAATCATGTTCCAGGCAGTAGGCCCTCATTTCTTGCTGTTTGCCTTTCCCCTCACAGTCTGTATGGCCCAGCACAGGAGATAAAGTGCCACTTCCCAGCTGCCTCCAGCTGGTCTTCTCCTTCCCTTTGTTCCCTGGTGTTCCTAGAGTGGCAGCTCTTGGTAACTGAGAAGGTTATGCCACATGTCAGCTGCCATGAAGCCCAGCAATGAAAATCACTAAGCTGGGACCCTGGGAAATATGCTTAGGCTGCCTGGGCCATGTTGTGACTGTTTGATCTGGGGTGAGGCTTTCATTTTCTCAGAAAAGAGTGTCCCTGTGCCATTGCCTTTACAGAGCTGCTGTGGGGGTAGCATGAGATAACAGACCTGAAGACCATATTAGAAAAGTTTTTATCTGATTCATATATCAGGTAAAATTATTACTCAGTTCAGTACTTCTGCGTCCCTATTCTGTGAAGGATTGCAGCATTTGTAGAGTGTAGGATTCAAACTCTCTGGGCAGTCACATATTTGAGAGTAGATGCGGGCAAGCCACATGAGCAAAGGTGTAAAGCAGTAACAAATTAGCAAATTCATATCAAGACAAAGTTTTCATCTATTACATGCTTCAGTCTTTATTAGAATCATTAATGCCTTTCAGTACAGCATAATCTGCTTGGATTTCTATGGCTATACTGAAACCAGAGGGCAACGAAGTTCAGGGCTAATGTTGCCTGTCACCACTTAGCCAAAAAGCAGAGACGGCGATTGGATTATAGTTGCGCTTCTAATATCAAAGGTCAGCAGCCTGAGAAGGTGGTAGGTAAAAACCCTAACATCCACCTTACACTGAGTTTTCAGAAGAAAGTTTAGAAAGGGGAAATTTGGGAATTTGGGAGGGAGGATTTCTAAGGGGAGTGCAAAGATGCTGTTTCTCTTGGGAGGGGGCTGAAAAGGGAGTCAGGGGAGGGGGGCAGCTTCATCTCAAGCTGGCTGTCTTTGCTCCAGTGTTATTTCTCCTGTTTGCATTAGCATTCCTTTCTTCCCCAGACACTTGTGGTTTATGGCCAGGGAGGTTCTGTATTCTCTGGTTAAGGAGGAGAAGTATAAACCATTTGCTCTCTAGTGTCCTTGGTTAGGGGAGATAAGATCATGTGATTCACCAGCTGGCTGTAAATTGCTCAAACTCTTTGGTCTTGTGTATTTTCTTGCCTCAGTTTCCCCATTCCACTTGCCCAGGAATTTCCCTAGCTTCTTACTCTCCTGTCTCAATACTATACATTCAACCCTTGTTTAGTGATCAACTCCAGGTATCAGCCTTTGTAATACAGGAAGAGAACCTATGCGATAGGACATGGGAAGCAGACTGAGATCCAGGATTTGATGTACCCCATCTCTCACAGATTGTGTAACCTCAGGCCATTTACTGGGCTTCTGCAGCCCTCATTTTCTGTTTCTTGAAAAGAGTTAGACTCAGTACTTAAGTTCTGAGGACCTCTCCAATTATGAGATTTTTCTAGAGTAACAATTGCAGTGTAGTGGACAAAGTCTTCATAGTCAGTAGGAGACCTGAGCTATGGCCTCAGGTCTACCCCTTGCAAAAAGAGTTATCTTTGGGCAAAGCATTCCATCTGTCTGAGTGAGCAGCAGCTTCTTCTTCTGCAAGATAGACCTGGAGATGTCCACCCTGCCTGCCTCTCTGGAGCATTGTAAGAGTCGAACTGAATGGAGTCTGCAAAAACTTTATAAGCCATAATTTGTCATATTAACGTTTCCTGCTATTCCACTGCTGTTGCTATAAACATTAAAACGCACACGAAACACTTTCAAAGGCATGCATACCTGAATGTGTGGCAATGTAGCTTAAATGTAGTCCAAGAGTTAAAGAGATGCAAAGCAGAGACTGACCTGAGTCAGATGAGTTAAGAAGGCTTGGGATTCATGAGTTTAGCAGTCTCTCATGGGCGAGCAAACCTGGACTGATGTTTGTTCCCTCACAGGTGACAGCAGAGCTAGATGCCTGGAACGAGGACTTGCTCCGGCAAATGAACGACTTCAACACGGAGGATCTGACACTGGCAGAGCAGCGGCTCCAGCGCCACACGGAGCGGAAGCTAGCCATGAACAACATGACCTTCGAGGTCATTCAGCAGGGCCAGGATTTGCACCAGTACATCATGGAGGTCCAGGCCTCAGGTAGGCAACCTGACCCATCCTTGTTCTCGTGGCAGGAGGTGATGAAAACAAGAACACCAGCTTGACTCCAACTAGCAATTCCACTCTGTTTGTTCATTTTATTCTTACAGCTATAAGGAACAGATTTTTGGCCTCATTTTAAAGAAGAAGAAACTGAATCATGACAGCTGAAATTACCTGTGTGAGGCTGGCCAGTTAGGCTGTGGTAAAGATAGAAATAGGGCTGGGCTCTCCTGGCACTGTGGAGAGAATGGGGAAAAACTAAGGGTGGAAATTAGCAGATTCCAAAAAAAAGAAAAAAGGGGGTGGCCTGGAAAACAAACCAGGTTGGCTCCTAAAGCAGTTGGCCATCTGTGAGAATTGTATTCAAATGTGTGGACATCCTCTATTCCACCCCCTTCCACACCACCCACACACACACTCTCCTGCCCTGTCCTCCACCCCCAGGGATGGCTTCTTATCCCCACATCATGACTTTCAGAGCCCTGTTTTTTATCACCAGCCTGTGCATGAGTGTTAAGAAGTGCTGATAAAAATTTATGGCAAGGCTGTATAATTTTAGAACTTCTGGAAAAAACATGGTTGCTTTACCCATATTTTACTCTTTTTCCTGTTCAGGATTTATTCACTATTTATCTTACAACTACATGAAACCTTAGCTCTGGCTGGGTGGCTTAGCTGGTTGGAATATCATCCTGTACACCAAAAGATTGTAGGACTGATTCCTGGTCAGGTACATACCTAGGTTGTGGGTTTGATCCCCAGTCGGGACACATATGGGAAGAGGCAACCTATTGATACTTCTCACATTGATGTTCTCTGTCTCTCTCTCTCTCCCCCACCCCCATGTCAAGCCTCCCTCTCTCTCCCCTCCTCCCTCCCTGCGCCCTACTCAACCTCCCTCCCTCTCCCTTCTCTTTCTCTAAAAAAATCAATAAACATATCCTTTGGTGAGGATTTAGAAAATGAAACCTTGCTGTTATGCCTCTAAATTGGCCTTTGTTATCAGAACTGGAGCATGTCATCATGGTCCCTAGTCCACCTAACCCAGAAAAAAGAAACCACTCATGAGCACATGCCATTGGAGTGATAGAACCCAGACCTATACACCCAAACCCATCCATTGCCCTCCTCCCCTTCATCTGCCTCACCCTTGTTGGCTCAGGTTCCTCACCAGCCATCGACTCTTTAAAGCACTCTTGGTCCATGTCCCTGTTGATCATGAAGGATATTTAGAATCATGAGATTTTTTAGGCAAGCCTTAGCAATCAAACTTAACTTTAGAGTACTAAGCTTCTTTTAGTGTATTTGTAGTATAAATAGTGAATAAATCCTGAGCATTCAAAGGAACTTCACTTCTAACCAGAGGAGAGACAACCTAGGAAATTGTAGTCACGTTGGTCAGCATAGTATTTCTTTGAACTTTCATTTGTGTCGTGAATAGGCCCGTGCCCAGAACAGCCCCAGGAAGGGCCATTCACACTGTAGTCTATCTGATGACTGTTTTATGACAATGCCCAGGCCCCACTCCAAGGTACCCTGATTTAACAACCTCTGAATGGGCCTTGGACATCAGCGAAACTCCTCAGGTGAGTCCACTGTGAAGCCAGCGCTGAGTCCTCTGCTTTTCATCCCAATGGTTAAATCACAACAGCTAATATCTATGAAATGCATGCCCCAGGACAGTGACTCCCAAATGTGGTTCCCAGATCAGCAGCATCAATGTCACCACTAGAGAGCTTGTTAGAAATGCAAGTTTAAGGGTGCATCCTTAGAACCTATCACATCAGAATGTCTTGGGGTCAGCCCCAATAATCTGCGTTTCGAAGCCCTCCAGATAATTCTGATGTAACACTGATGATCTATGACCTTGCTTCTCAAAGGGTGGGCCCTAGACCAGCACTGTCAGCATCAGTGAATACTAATTAGAAATGCAGGATTCCAGGCCTTTCCCCTCAGTTTTGATGTGTCTGGCAAGAGGGAAGTTTGTCCACCTGAAAACCTGTGGCATTTAGGTCCAGGGTTCTGGCATGACCTGGGGAAAGCCCACCTCTCTTCCAAGAGCCAGGTATCCATAGTAACGGGAAGACTGCTGGGAGCTTGCATTTGCTGAAGACTGCTTAAGACTGGGGGTTAGTTGTACTTGGCAGCCACCCTAACCATGAGGGCTGAGTGGGTGAAAACACCCCAGGCAGATGGGCTGCCCACCCCCACAGTATCCTGTTCTAGAAATGGGCTTTTTCAAAAGAGGCTGGATTGGCTTCCTCAGCCCTCTCTGCTGGGACTGGTTGTTCCCCTACTCCTACCACATTTAGCTGCTCAGTCTGGCATAGCTCTGAGGCTTCAAAGGGAATGAATCCAGGGGTTTCAGGGATGCTCACTCTGCTGCTGAGTCCTTGGTCCTGAAGTGGAGGCATCTGTCTCATCTCTGGCTTGGAGGAGGGGAGGGCAGAGTCCTGGCAGAGCTGGGGAGTGAGGGTGGAGGTTGGGAGTCCTAGCTGGAACTTATACGCTGGTGGCCAAAGAATGCAAGACTTCAGAGACACAGGGCTGAGGCAATAAATGACTTGATCATTTATTATATACATCTAATGAACTATATTTGAACTAAGGCTAAAATAAACTGTTGTGTTAGAAAAGGACAATAAGCAAAATTAAGGATTTGGTTTGCATTTAGCTCTGCACGCTAACTAAATTAATTAAGGGCTTATATTTTGATTTTGTAGGAGTAAATGGAAGTAGAAAATTTCCATATACTTACTTTCAGGTATGAAGTTTATAACATTGAGTCAGGTTCTACCAAAATCCCTCTGGGTGCTAACAACTCCAACCAGAGCAAAAACCTTTGCTTAAATCAACATCAGCCTTAGGATTAGAAGGCAGAACGCAAATAATTTCTTCACTTATTCATTGTTCTTTCCTCACTGTAGCATTATCTATTTAAGCCTCAAGTTGGGAGGTGTTTGCCGGTAAGAGTCAAGTTGGAGAAAGCATGCTTGCTGAATTCAGGGTCCAATTCTTCCATCAAAAGTTGGAAATGCCTTTTCTTTCTCTTTAGACCTTGCTTTCTTCTGTCTAATGTGGCAGGTGGACATTGATTCCTAAAGTCCTCTCCACTTCTTACTTTCCATGATTCAGCCTCACTACCTCCATTAATTATGTCACAGGTTTTCTTTTTAATGTAATCTGACCGTGAGACTTATACTTGACCTTAGGAATAAGACAAGAGCCATATATCCTATGGCTATATTCCTTTTGTGGTTTAGTCAAAGGTTCAAGTTCTCCCTGTATACAAAGCCTTGAAGTGAAAAAAATCTTTGGAGTCTGTGGCAGTGATGTTTCAAATACACTATGCCAGGGAAGATTCCAGACGCAGTATATGAAAATAAATAAATTTTTATTTTTTAAAGATTTTATTTTTTTTTTAGACAGAGGGGAGGGAGAAAGAGAGGGAGAGAAACGTCAGTGTGTGATTGCCTCTCACGCACCCCTAACTGGGGGCCTGGCCCACAGCCCTAGCATGTGCACTGACTGGGAACTGAACTGACGACCCTTTGGTTCGCAGGCTGGCACTCAGTCCACTGAGCCACACCAGCCAGGGCTGAAAATAAATAAATTTTTTAAAATAAGTTAAGTTTTGGGGGGGCCACTCTTCTTTTTGAGCACAGAGGTTAAGAGTACAGCTAGGAGAGGAAGATTGCTTGGCTTGGCATTCCACCACATCTATTACTACCTGGGTTTCCTTGAGCATGTGACTCACACTCTGAGCCTTGCCTTCCTCTGGAAAATGGCAATCATGAGAATGACAACCAAAGTGAGTTATTGTGAAGATGCAATGGGGTAATACACAAGCATGATAAGGGCTCCATAAAGCTTGATGATGATTATGTATTACACTAGTATTCTAGCACATAGGGTATTTTGTTGGGGTACTTGTGTTCCTTAGCATCTCCAGCAACATGAGGACAAGACTCTCTTCCTTCTCTTTATATACCCATCATCTAACAGAGTGGTTATGTCTTGTATATATATAGCAAGTTCTCAATAATAATATATGCTGAGTCATCAAGACTGAACATAGTGTGGGTAAAACAAATGTAGGTAAAAATAATGGGCCATAAATCATCTTACTTTTGTCACAGAAGGAAGGAAAGACCTGTGTTTTTCCAAAATGGAAGCTACTCTGGGGTTGATGGGAATGTGGATCTGGTGGGGGCCGAGAGGAGGGTAGAAGAGAACCTACTGTAAAACAATGGTTCTCAAGACCTGGCTCCATATTTAGAAATACATGGCAAATTTCTTAAAATACCAAAGTTGGGGGCCTCTGAGGGATTCTTAGTTAATTGGTCTGGATTGGATCCAGATTCTTTTAACTTCCCCAGGATATTTTAAAGCAGGGCCAAGATTGAGAATACTGATCTAAAAACCTGATTAAAGGACTTTGTAATTTCTGAACCATTGTTATACTGAGGCAGTGATGCAGAAATAAGAGTAGGGAGGGTAGGAGAAGGGAGAAAAGATGTTCTCTCTCTGAAGCAGATATATATTTAAAAAACACAGTCAAGAAACACATTACAAATTTGGGCAGTATAGCCAGGAATACCTCTTATTCCTAGACCATAGTCACCTGTCCTTGAGGAAATTAAAGTGGTTCCCTCAACCTGACAGCAAAGGAAAGCAAAGCAAGATTTTATTTTTAGCTGTGGCCTTGAGCTCCAAATAAACACAGTGCTGAACATTCTAGTAACTGAACTAGGAGGAATATCTCTGCCCCCTGGATCGTTGGCAGTTGTACCATCTTATCCAGTGGTTCCCAGTTTTGTTTTCATGTTGTAATCACCCTGGGAGATTTAAGACTTACTGATATCTGGGACCCACCCCCACAGATTCTGGTGTTCTTGGTCTGGGTTGTGGCCAGGACACGGGAATTGTTTAAAGTTCTCCAGATTAATCTAATGTGAGCCAAGGTTGAGAGCACTGGTCTAATAGCATCCAAACCACCATAGCTTCTAATGATACACATTGAGCAAGGATTGGGTTTGCCAAAAAGTTCATTTAGTTTTTCCCATAAGATGGCTCTAGTAGTGCTTGGCTGTCTTTAACTTCATTTGAAACAATTTTGTTAGATTATATTGTGACAGCTGTCAATCAGTGTGCAAAGTCAAAATTGGTGAATTTTTGTGCAGCCATTTTAATATTGAAGATAGAAGAAAATAAGAAACATTCTTGGCATATTATGCTTTATTATTTCAAGAAAGGTGAAAAAACACAACTGTAACTCAAAAAAAAAAAAGATTCATGCAGTGTATGGAGAAGGTGCTATGGCTGATTGAATTTGTCAAAAGTGGTTTGCAAAGTTTCATGCTGGAGATTTCTCACTGGATGATGCTCCATGGTCTGGTAGATAGCGATCAAATCGAGACATTAATTGAGAACAGTCAACATTATATTAAGCAGGAGATAACTGACATACTCAAAATATCCAAATCAATAAAGTTATTGGTGAAAATGAAAAACATGCCTTTTATTTTATGGAAAAAACTAAACGGACTTTTTAGTCAACTCAATATATAAACACCTGACAATAAGATTTTATATTTACATTTTACACATGGTGTTCAACAATCCCATCAGTCAGTAATCAATAGTGAATATATTATTTCCCCAAGGGAAAGGAAAAGGAAAAAGGATATATTTTTAGCCAACAAAAATGCCAGGTACTATATATACTTTATCTCTTAGTCTTAACAACACGCCCAAAAGTCTTCCTGGGATTCCCATTTTACCCAGTCTCTGAGAGGATATTGAGCCCAGAAACTCACCATTAATAGGTTGCAGACCACAGATTCTAAGTTACATCTGTCCTTCCCTAAAGTTCTCAGGTACTTTCCACCACAGCACATAACCTGAACTCCTCCCTAAAGTGGCCCATGTGTTCATTATACAGGTATTTATTGGGTGTTATGAGTCAAGCACTGTGCTGGATCCTAAAGATGCAGAGAGGCATAAGACAGACATGAACCTAATGTCCATATGCAACGTCCCTGAGATAACATGGACAAGTTATAAGGAACCAACCTAATAGAAGTGCCCTGATGGAGGGATGGGTATAGGACATTTTGGGAGAACATCAGAAAGAAACTTCAATACGACATTTTATAAGGAGACTGACAAACTATTTTATTGCAAATATATTTCGCTGCTTGACGGAAAGAGCATTCTTTTTTTAAAAAAAATGTTTATTGATTTTAGAGAGAGAGACATGGATGTGAGAGAGAAGCATCGATTGGTCGCCTCCCATATACATCCCAACTGGGGATTGAACCCACAACCTAGACATGTGCCCCGACTGGCAATCGAACCCCCAGCCTTCTGGTGTTGGCGATGATACTCCAACCAACTGAGCCATACCAGTCAGGGTTGAACAAATATTCTTGTTGCATTTCTGAGATCCCCTAAGGATAATAGTTAAGCCTATGATTGGATCAAGAGGGGTAATGTCAACACAAGAAAATTCTATTTGGTATTGACTGATGGACATGTATCAACTGATGGGTTTTAACAGGTCAATGTGTTGGGAACAGTGGGAGAGAGGGGTGAGTTTCTATTCTTCTAGGTGCAGCTGGAGTAAGTCTTCATGTTTTTCCCATTCTCCATCCACAACATGATATGCTGTTGAGGCCTGCAGAAGTATCATAGGCGTCGTCTTCACCCATTCTGTTTTCTGTGTTCAGCTCTCATAAAACAATCACAAGCCAGGTAGATGAAAATGTAGGGCTTGCCTCAGGGCATGCTGTGAACTTCTTCTGGATGATGTCCTAAGCAGGTGGATGGCCTCTTTGAAGAGTTACTAGGCTTAGAGAAACTATTTACATGCAGTGTGGCAGGGGTGAGTCCTGAGCTTTCCATAGGAAGACACTTTGCCCAAGCCCAGCATACTAAACACCAGACACACACACAGAATGCAAATGAGCTGAGAAAACATCCGCATTGTGGTTGGAAGCAGGGAAGAACATCTACTTCTGCAGATGGATTTTTTTTTTAAATACTTACCCAAGGATATGTTTATTGATTTCATGGAGAGAGGAAGAGGAAGGAGGAAGAAAGAAACATTGATCTGTTGCCTCCAGTATGCCCCCTGACTGGGGATTGATCTTGCAACCTAGGTATGTGCTCAGTCAGGGATCAAACCCTCAAGCTTTTGGTGCACAGGTGATGCTCCAACAAATTGAGCCACCCAGCCAGGGCTGCAGATAGATTTTAATTGATTTTTAGAAAGTAAAAGTAAACATGAGGGTCAAGGGTCATCCCACTTTGCTGAGCAGTGCAGAGGTAGGAATTTTTATATTCCTTCTTATTTTTTATTTCAGCCAAGGAGATGTTCTACCTCATCCTCTTGGTAACCGAAAATAGTAAGTGGAAGGCGTTGACTGCCAAAAGAACAAGCCGTTCTTTTCTGTTTCCCACAGATATTTCAGCTAGGACTTGGAATTATGAAAATGACAAAAATAAAAATAAACATGAAAAGATACTGAAATTATTACCATGTAACACCAGAAAATTTTTTTTCCTACTCTCCCATATTGTCCTTAGGTAAAACACTATTTTTGCCTCTGTAGAAATGAATTTCCTTTATCGTGTACAACATCCCAACTGTATTCTGCAGGTGTATGGGTGGTGGCAGTGATGAATTTCTAATGGCGCAAGTAAGAGAAGTGGGGAAGTCTCCCAAAGAGGATTTCTTTTTCAAGTGGCCATACTTTGAGATTGGTGGGTTCCCCATCCGATCAGCTAATGACAGGGTCGTTTTTGGCCTTGTTTTGTATTTTCCAATATGATCCAGAGGCTGGGTGTTGGCGAATGCCCTATCAGAGACTGCTGGGTGCTGTCTTGTCTGGGAATGGGCTTTCAGAGAGTGCCTCTCCCTAAATCCAGTTGATAATAAGGAGCTGATCATCCGTTGGAAAATTATCCCCAGTTAAAAGAGATGGCATGTTTGAGCATCTCTAAAAAAGGCAGTTAAGACAATCTGTCCAATTTCACAGAGAGATATTGTAGAGGTTGGGAGAGTACCGATAATGGCTATTTCTAAATTCCCGTTTTCATATGCATAGTGAACAAAATGTAGTCTTAACAGTACTACCTGGTTTTTAATTGTTTATTTTTCTAAATCAGGAATTGAGTTAATCTGTGAGAAAGACATTGATCTGGCAGCCCAGGTGCAAGAGCTGCTGGAGTTTCTCCATGAGAAGCAGCACGAATTGGAGCTCAACGCAGAGCAGACACATAAGCGGCTCGAGCAGTGCCTCCAACTGCGGCACCTCCAGGCCGAGGTCAAACAGGTGAGCCTGGCTCTTCCACCTTCAACCTAAGCTTCCCACTTGGGCTGGGTCCGCCACAGGTGTACACAGACCTTAGAAAATAGATAACTTAAGGAATGATTGTATTTGTTTCTGAAAGCTAGCTGCCATCTTTTGGATCTAACAAATAGACCTAATGGTACAATGGCTCAAACAACAAGTACTAAATTTCTCTTTCATAACAGTCTAAGGAGAACATTCCCAAGTTATCCTCAGTTTTTTATTTTCCTTTTTATCTTCAATCCTGGCATACAGTTCATGGGAAATACAAATCCTTTATTAATAAATATATTAAGGCTTTGGAGCTAGGTTGATTAATTTGGGGCACCTGCATGTCTAGTACAGTACCTGACACATAGCTGATAGTCAATAAGTAGTAGCACTTGCTATCATTCTTTTCAGTGTGTGTGTAGTTCTAATAAATTTTAAAGTTATCTTTAAAAAGGAAAAAGAGTTCTTATCTACATGAGACATTATACTAGCCATTTTTCTAAGGGCATATCCAGGCCTCTAGGAATCCCTAGGGATATACAATGACCGATGGTACAATAAAAAGATATTATAGCACTGGCCAGGTGGCTCATTGGTTAGAGTGTCGTCCTGTGCACCAAAAGGTTGTGGGTTCAATTCCCAGTCAGGGCACATGCCCAGGTTGCGAGTTCCATCCCCAGTCAGAGTATGTATGGGAGGCAACCGAGCAATGTGTTTCTCACATCATTGTTTCTCTCTCTCTCTGTGTCTGTCTCTGTCTCTCTCTTTGTCTCCCTCTCCACCCTGCCCCCTGCCTTTCTAAAATCAATATGCCTGGGTGAGGATTTTTTTTAAACTACATATTTTTTTTTCTCATGTGCTGTGACTGCTAGATCATTTAGATTTAAGTCTATTAATTTACCCCAGGGAACAAAAACATTGTATTTTATTTAATTATTGCTTGGTCTCTTATAGTCAAGGTATTTCTTGCTAATGCCTCATTCAGTTATTACATTTCAGTTATTTATTATAATGGACAAAAAAATCTTATCTGCTCTACTTCTCATCCAATCATTGTTCGGCCAGAGCCCAAACATGCTGTGCTAAAGATTCATCACTGAGCCCCAAGAAAGACCAGACCATAGCACTGCTGTCCAAGTTGTTTTCTGTTCATTACACTGGGATCACATCTGAATCTCTAGAGAGAAATATTCTCCATGGGGACATGCTAGAAACCCTGTCAGGCCCAGAGCAGTGAAGAATGTACAGATCTGAAACTCTTGGCAGGAATGGTAATACCTTCTTTCCATATGAGAAGTACTTCCTCATTTGTGATCTCATTTTAGAACAAGCCATGGGGGAAAAGTGGTGTATGTTTACTTTACAAATGAGGAAACTGAGGTACCAGAGGATTAGTGCTTGCAGGGCCTCTTGACTAACTCAAGCTGAAACTTAAGCCCATGCCTCTCAAATTCAAGATCTTAGAATGTGCCTCTTCAAAGCCCCAGTCCAACCCTGGGGTTTTGGGAGAAAGAAAAAGAAGCCTTCCAGCACAACTCATTCTGGGATTTTCTTGGCCTCTGCAACATGACATCTGAATAGATGGGCCAGCGTAGTTTACACCTGGCAGCAAGGGTGGCACCTGCCCAGTCATCAGCGGGCTCCAGCATGTCATGGGTGTTCTCCTCCACTCTTCATCTCAGCTATTTCTGTCCATGGACAGCAGCAGGGATGATCATCTGAACAAAACAGATACCATGAAAATTATTCCTATTTGACTTTGAAATGAATATATACTTTTGCTTTTGTTCCTGGTTTCTAGTTTTATTTATTCTTTTGTTCCAGCATTAATAATAGAACCAACACACTAATTATGTTTTTTGACTGGTATGAAAATGGAAATGAATGGTCATCCTCCAAGTACACATTCTGTATAGAATAGGGAGCTGGGATGATGACACATAGTTTGTCAGATGGGAAAGTAAAACATCTCTCTATGAATAATTCAGGCTTGACTAATACCTGTACACATTTCCATTCAGCATTTTATGAGTTGGAGAACAAAAAAAAGAACTCTTCTACGGGGGTAAGAAAATTCTTTCTCTCCACCACACAGTGGGATTTTAGTTCAAAATGGTACTGGATTGCTAGTCAGACTTTAGGAAAACTGTGAAGGCCTTTGCAAAGGACAGTGGCCTTTGGAGAGAGAAACAAGGGACTGTTGCTTGGTTAAGCCATCATGCCTCATTAGACAGACTTGTTTTCCTTGTTAATGTAAGACTCTTTCTTTAGGGAGTCATGTAATCCAGTTTCAGAGAAGGCATTTGTGTTTGATGGAAGTTGGTAGAGCGGGAAATATTGACTTGAAAGCTGTTGACACTTGGAACGAGGGAGTTAATTTAGATGTCAGTATTGATCAGTGGGGCTTAATTTAGACACTAGCTTGAGAGTTTCTCTTTTGAATATACTCTCAAAAAAGAAAAGAATAAATAAAAAGGACATTTAATTGAAATACCATTAATGGAGACAGAAAGCGAGAGGTCAACAGTGTGTTATACATACAGCTCTATCTTTAGATCTCTCATAGATTAAAGGTTTACATTTGGCCATCATAACCATAACTCTTGTTACATCACAGTTATGTGAAACTGAAGCTTTGGGGAGTGACAACGCCACAGACATTAGACTGAAAATTATTTTCAAGTGTTAAGGACAAAGGAAATTGATTGATGCAACTGATTTTTTCCCCCTGGGAGATTACCTAGGGCTTTCTATCTAAGATAAATGGCCCAAGCACATCCAGGAAAATGTTGAATCTTGAAGGGAAATCACTCTCCTGATTATAGTCCATGGTCCAGGACCACCCAGATGTCCCCTTTCTTCTAGAAAAATAGTTCAGATTATTCTCCAGACCCCACAGAATGCTCTGATCGCTTTGCAGGGAAATTGCTACTCTGCAAAGGATGACTTCACATTTATTAGGGAATTCAGAAAGATTTGAAAAACCTATTTAATGGACATAAAACTAAATGAATTTCCATATGTATTCCTGCAGAGCAGTGCATTTAGCAGAAAATAGGCCAAAATAGATTTATAAGATTTTGGGGCTCTCAGCTATGGGGAAATAAATCATACATATTTTTTTTACTAAAGATGAGGACAAAATTAGCCCTGTGGACCAAATACTGGCCAAAATTTGCATGTGATCAAGAAGGACATTCAAAACAAAGGAGAAAACATTATCCTATCCTCATATTCCTGTCAAAAATACTGTGTTCAGTTAGGTTCACTGTACGTAAAACTTAGAAAGGAGTTGGAATAGATCCAAAAGAGAGGCAACCAAAGGGACAAGTACTATCCATTCATTTTAAAATGGAGATAATTAAGAAAGCACATGGTCACAATTTATAAAACCATGATAGATGCACCCAGACAGTCTCCAAAATCTTGAATTTTTAAAACCAGAAGATATTGAAAACATGAGAGGCTCCCAGTTACCATCTGAGGGACCAGTGGATTTTCCTGTGGCTGGGGCGGCAAAAATGGCTGTGCCTTGTAATGTTGCCTGCAATAGCAAATCTTGGAGTCCATGGCTTTGAGTACAATGTTACACATTTGTTGCTGGTATGACCTAGAGAACACAGCTATTACAAGCAGCTTCCTCAGCCTCCATGGTGGCAGGATCCAGTCTGCTTAGATGGCAATATCATTTGTGGACATCCACATCCAATTAACTAAGTCCAGTCTTGTCCTTACCTAGGGTTATCTGAGCTTCCTTGGCCTAAGGAAGCAATATATCTCCGTTTCCCTTTCCCCCTCTCAGTTCTGACTGAGTTGAATTTGTGGCCTAGCTCTAAGTGTCCAAGCAGCAATTCTACATTTCTACAAAGTTAAGTTTCTCTGGTATCCTGTGTCTCTGAATTTTGAAAGAAGTATAGAACTTTAGGGCTCAAAGTGACCTTCAAAGATCATCTAACCTACAGATAAACTGTTGTCTCAATGATTGATCAATGTAAAATGTTAATTTGTCATATTATATCTTACTGTTTGGAAAATATCTTTACATATATTATTTCATTTCATCTTTACCCTGTGACTTAGGCAAGCAAAGTCTTACTGTTTTACAGAAAAGAAAACTGAGCCCTCAGAGATATGAAATGTTTCCAAAGTCAAATAGCTCAAGATTAGTAGGTCCAACATTTTCTCATTTTTATTAGAATATTCATTCTACTTTGCATGCACTTGGATGCCTACACAGCATAAATAACCAACTTTCTCAACCAGGAAGACAAAGGACTACAGTAATAGAAAATACCAACAGAGCTCTTATTAATAAGAGTACAAAAAATGATGTACCTACATAACATCAGGAGGCCCAGAATACAAATACTGGGGCAAAAATTAATATTCCTAGACTTTTTCTCTTCTCATTGTGGAAGGTACAAATGAAGAATCATAGCATTACCTACCTTTGGCTGCAAAACTAAAAATCATCACCGTGACTATCATCTTGCTATTCATATTACAATATGTTGCATCAAGGCTGATACTGAAAGTGAAGGTACTGTTATCCTAAGTTTACAGATGAGAAAACTGAGGCTCAGAGGGGCTAAGTGGTTTTGCCTGGCAGTAACAAAGCCAGGTGTTCTGACTTAAGATTTTATGCTCTTCCTACACTACCCCAGTTCTACTTCTAGGATTAATGCAATCACAGGAATCAGTCCCACTGCTGAACCCAAGGCATGGATATAAACTGCTGTGCATTCTTTATCTTCCTAAAATCAAATCTCTCACTTTAAAGTCCTGCAGTGCATTTGGAAAATAAAAATGAACAAGGTGTCAAGGACATGGCATGATTTAATGAAAGGTAGAGGCTGAAGCAAAATGCAATCAATTATGGCAGAAGGACCTACCTAGTTCAAAATATACACTGTGAGCTCCATTTTGCAGAGGTAAAGCATTTTAAGCATGTGATCCATGTATGTACGTACCCAAAATTACAGGCAGCTTTTGGAAATCATTAGCACCTCTACCCAGCCAGGCACAGTACACCCGTGGCATCAGAGATTTCACACATACACTCTGAACAGTTATTTCCTGCAACTAATCACTGTACAAATAGGCGTCTCATCTGCAATCTGCTAGACTGGCCATGAATTAGCATCTCAATCCAGACAGCCCAGCTTCAGTGGGATTTCTGCCCCAGTGTTGTTATCCATGTACAACATGGCACCACTCATTTTCTTCCCACAGAATAAATTTGCAAAATGTCTATGAGGGTTATGGCATAAGAGACCAGGATTAGTATTTTTCTAATTGTTTAATGTGAAGTTGAGAGGAGGAAAAAAAAATTCTGAAACAGATTGTAGTGACTTCTGTTTATGCTGAAGTGACAGATGCATGGTATTTACTGATCTGGAAACTTCAAAAACATTTTTTCTCCAATAAAACTCTCAAATTTACTAATAAAAAAATATTTGGCAATTTTTTGGTGACTAGGCACAAGGTAATTTTTCAAGACCTAATTCTTCTAGCTTGACTCTGCACTAACTCTATGAGTTGGATCATTACCACATGTCCACTTCATCTAGGACTTTCTAGACAGTGTCAGCTGTTTCTCCTTCTATTCTAGTACTCCTCAGCTGAGTACTAACTAAGGTCACCTAGAAATTTTACTCAGACTAGTCACGACCTCTAAATAATTTAAATAATTTATAACTTACCCTCCCTTTTTCTGATGATCCAGTGTGTAGATTATCTAATTAGCTATTTTGCTTATTTTCTTCCTCCTTCCTCCTGCCTTTGCCCTGCTTGCCTACGAAAGTTCAAGTTTGTCTTCTCTTAGCTATTTGCAAGGCATGGGCAGTTGGAACCACTGCTTAGATGTGACTAAGTGTTTGTCATAGATAATCACTCACTCTCTCAAAACCATTACTGCATACCCATCATACGCAAGGTACTATGCTAGGCATTTTATGAGATGAAAATGTGACTAACGCTCTGTTTTTCTGGAAGTTTATATTCTAAGGGAGGAAGTGAAACATAGGTCAAAATAACTGACCAAAGGCAGTTGTGGTGAGTGCCAAAAAAGTGGTAAATACAAAATTATGAGGTTGTGCTAGATGACAAAGACATTGTTTCTAATGGGAATGATTAGGTATAGTAGATTTCAAGAAGATATTGGTATTTAAAATATGCCTTTAAAAAAAGGATATAACAGAGGGAATTTACTTATTTGTACTACTCTGTGTTCCAGAAGGAACTTCAGAAATGTACATACAATGCAATCAGATTAATTAATGTTTAAATTAAGTGGGTAAGGACATTGGGACAGAGGGATGATAAAGGTAGGGAAAGAATATTTGAGGCTAGGAATGGGGTTGGTCCTTAAAATAAGTCCCTCATGCCACAGGGTGCCAGGTAAGATTAGGAAGATGACCTCTTTAATTCCTGGACCTGTCCTCTCTCCAACGATGGGCAGAAGATAGCAAGCTCTCTGACTGAAGGGCCCATCATAGAAGGCAACAGCTCTGAGGAAGCTGTAAAGGCCATTCATCTGTGTTCTTGTCCCAATTCCCTAGGTCCTGGGATGGATCCGCAATGGGGAGTCAATGCTCAATGCCAGCCTGGTCAATGCCAGCTCTTTGTCTGAAGCAGAGCAACTGCAGCGGGAGCACGAGCAGTTCCAACTGGCCATCGAGGTAACACCCAAATCTGCCTACATTGTCCTCCCTTCCTCTTTCTGCTCTGTGGTTCACACAGGATGATTCTTCAAGATGTGGGTGTTCCTTACTCTTTCTAGTGAAATGGTCCAGGTAGCCTCCCTACTGCCCAGGAAATGATGGAGAAGTAAGTGCAAGGTTCATCACCCCATGGAGGCCTGGTATTAGAAGACAGGTGTTCACACCAAAAATGTGGATTTTCTTTCTTACTCATTGGTACCCTTAACCTTCAAGGCCCCTGGTACACTGAGTTTGTTATTCATTATGAACTAGGCACCACGTTAGAAATGTAAAGATCATGCAGAATTGAGGATAAACAAGTGCAAAAGTCATCAGTAAATTAGGATTTCATTTTTAAATATTCAGTTTACAAGTAAGATTTAGATTCCACTGTCAGATTCTGCCTTATAACAAGAACAATAATCACAGGAGCAGGTTGCAGTAGGTAGTTTGCTTCAATGAGAATAATTGTTCAATAATGCTGTTTTAAAGGCTCTTTAAAATAAAACTCCACTTATGATAACCTAACATAAATTTTATCTTGCTTTAAATAATACCTTTAATTATCTTTTCTGCCAGGACATTATCCTTCCCAAAGAGACTTGAGCTGATTGCTTTAGAATGGTGTAGGGAAAAAGAGTAGGAAATGGGACATGGGGATGGTATTAAAAATAAAACAAGTTCAGTAGCAATGGGAAAAGAGGTAAAGAGTGGCAAGTTCATAAACTTTCATTACTTGTGGTTCAGTACAAAACCCAACCTACTCCTGAGTATGTAAGAAATATAAGGTGTTATCTTCTACTAAAAAAATTAATGAGAATTTTCTACAACAATGATAAATTGTAACTGTCTACACCAATAAGTATATGTTTAACACAGTAATCCAAATGATTGCTAGTCATTTTTAAACTAGCATTGATAAATTTGAACCATTTAATTTTCCAGAAAGCATCCTGTATGTGTAAGCATATCAGGAACGTGAATGACATGTTTCTGCAAGATTTCTAATATCCTCTTAGGACCCACTGCTAGTACTAGGATATTGTCTGGGATTTAAGATTTTAAAATAATCTGTATATTAGCCACACAGTATAAATAATTTTCTAAGAAAGAACTGACCAGAGGGGAGAAGTTTTGTTATCACTAGCTGTCCCTGTTGCATTTTACTGGCATACTCAAACATGGAAGTGTTGGGTTCTGTTCACTGTAAAGGAAAAATCAGGATTGGGGTTACAATCAAGAGTCAGGCACACAGTGGACAAGGCCCCATAGAGAGGCAGCAGTGAAGAGAACTAAGGTTTGTCAGTCAGGCCCGAGGAGTGCCGTGAAGCTGTGAGGGGTGCTGGGCAGAGAGAGCAGACAGCTCTTGGCCACACCACCTCCTTGTTTGTCTTGAATGTGAAGGTTTACATGCCTTGTGGGTAATTAAATTTTCAGTCCCTTAATCAGATGTTAGGAAAGTAACGTTAAGTGTCATGATATACTTGAGCATCTCAGTGAGCGAGTGGAAAATAGCGGGTAAATGCTTTTGCAGTGCAATCAAAATGACTAAATTTCACATGACTTGTATATGCAGCATGTATTAATTTGTGTTAGGTGCTGTGGCATCCTTAAATAATAGAGGCTCACTAAGCATAGATGTCTCTTAATTGCCTGAGTGCAACTTGATCAAATATTCTTGGAATTCATATTGAGACAGAGGTCCCTACAGAGTTTAGGTCTATGGTTTCAAGAAGACATGGCAGAGAGATACGATTTCTGGAAGATCTTGGGAATGCAAGGTAGGCAGGGTCTGCTAGAGTAATGAAGAGAACAGAACCAAAATTTCAACATATGCTCCTCCTTCAGGTGGCCTTGTGCTTCTCCCTAAATGCGTAAGTTTACACCTGGTTCTGCACTGGAGGAAAATATTCCAGGAATAATTTAAGCTATTTTGAAAGCAGATCTAACTAGTCTGGTGTGGCTCAACCCATTCAGATGATGGTACTGTAGGTCTTTACAATGATTGCTGACAGGGAATATAATTTGACTTCTTGGGCCCTAACAAAGAGCCCTCGGTTCCAGAAGGGAAAATAAAATAGCTTTAGGTAGGGTGATCATATAATTTGTTACTAAAATAGAGAAACTTTTATCAGTGAATAAGGAAATTATTAATAACTAAGCCAAAAAAAATAAGCATATACTAGAACTGTGATGGGCAAAGCAGGATTTGCTCACCCTAGCTTGGGTAGCCTAACCAGTTTGAAGGTTTGAGTCTCAGAAATGAAGGTCAGAATTTTTATCTGAAGTAGCCTTGGTTTCAGGAAAATTCCCCAGAGCCTTTCACAATGGAGAGTAATAATATACAGCACCCAAAAGCATAGTTTTATCACCAAACCCAGATTCTGATTTGTTGGCATCCAAGATATTGTCACTGATGTGTATTTAAGAACTGTGAACATCACAGAGACAAGCTCAATTTTAAATTCCATATTTATTTGAAATCCTCCTATGTATTTTAAACTTGAACATTAAGGCAGAAATAGTTAAGTAATAGTTATCCAGTAGCTATAACTGGATAATAAAGTGAGTCGATTTGGTTTAATCTTCTTCCGTGTTTTGCTACTAAATATTAACATCTTTGATCCATGTCTTAAAGATATAGCATTCAACAGGATTAGAAAAAGAGCAGAAATAAATGCAAAATAATGATTCAAACCTAACAATGCAAAGATTATGTCATATATCATATGCATAAGAGCTTATCATTTTGGAAATTAAAGGAGGAAGAGGTTCCCAGGACTGTTTTAGAATAAAGAAGGAGATTTATTACATAGCATAAATTATAGGAAAATTAAAATTACTTCTCTACTGTCAGAGAAAAAGACATTAAAATGGGTTTATGATGACAATTATATGCTGGTTTTATATACTGAGGAGAAGCCGTATAATTTTCATAATCACTAAATGTTCATTGGTGAACTCTTCCTCTAAATGAGACACTGTAGATCCTGTTCTAATTGCTAGACATAAAACGATGTGATGTGATATAGTGGAAAAGACACAGGTTTGGGAGTCGATCAAACCTGAATCTTGTTCTTGGTTTTATCACTTCCTTGGTTATATGTTTTTGGGCAAGTCACTTCACCAACCTGAGCCTCAGTTTCTTAATCTGTGAAGTGGGAATAGTAATATTTACCTTGTAGTAGTGTCATGAGAAGTAGAAAAAAATATGCATAAGCACAGTGCCTAGCACTGAGTATACACTTGGTTAAATGACAGCTATTCAAGTGATTTTTTTAAAGTAGCCCTTGCCCAAGAGTTTCACAGTCTGAGTAAGGAGAATCAACCAAGTGTAGATAAGTGTTACAGTTCTGAAAAGGGTAGTTTTTAATGAGGCTCAAGCTGTCTGAAAATGCTTCTTTGAAAGAGGTTGGACTTGAGCTGAGTTTCAAAGGGTGACTGAACATAGATGGGGAGAAGCTAAGGGGTGTTCATTAAAGGCAGGGAGAATGAAGGCAGCAAAAACAGAAAGTGCCTAGTGTGTTTTCAAAGTGTATTTTATATAAGTAGGAAGTGATAATGGTATGGAAATAGGGGCACATTATGAGAGGCTTTTAATGACATCCTCTAAAGTTTGGGCTTAATTTCATAGCAGTGCAGGAACTACTGAAGGCTTTTGGATTGAAATGGGGGGAGATGTTTATAGCATAAAACCAGAGTTTAGGAGCTGGAAAGGACGTTAGAAGCTATGTAATCCAAGCACTTCATATTACAGAATATTAATCTCTCATCAATGGAAGGGATAGGTTAAATGGAGTAGAAATGGAAGGCAAGATGACTAGGTAGGTGTCCAGCACAGCCGTCAAGTACGAAGTGCTGAGGACTGGACTGAGAATCAGGGTGAGGAACAGCAGACAAGGATGATGATGAGATTCTACCATCAGGGGAATGGTAAACTGCCATGGGAAGACTGTTTTAGAGGGAGGAGGTGTTTAGTTTTAGATGTGGAACTTGTGGAGACGCCTGGCTGACTGACATGGGCAGACGGATGGAACTGAACCAGTGCTGTTGACCTGGGTGAGAGATGTGACAGGCAGCTCACCCTTACACCGAACACAATTAAAGACGAGGGTCAGGTGTTGGAGTGAGAGATGTGGACTGGGGAATAGTTTACAAAGAGGAGATAATAGAAGTCAAGGAAATAAATGAGGGCTCTGCAGAAGTTAAAAAAAAGAGAAACATCCAAGAACGGGTCTTGGGGTACCTCTGCATTTTGGAGACAGGAAAAGAAAATGCTGCCAGTAAGAATAAGAGAGGAAAAAAAACAGGATTTATAGTGGATCCTTTCCACCCATTAGTTTACTTTTTCCAGCTGTGTTCAGCAGTTAGGAAGCCTGCTGCTGATGCAGTCATCAGGATTGAGGGCTGACTCAGTGGCAAAGCAAGGGAATTAAAGGAGTCTAGGTTGCTAGAGGAGGTGGTGATAACATAGCTACCACTGGGTACAGATTTAGGAGATGGAAGGGAAGCCAAGAGGCGGTTGAGAGACTGAGAAAAATAATTAGGACTATGTGGACTGCCCTCTGGGATGAGGGAGAAGGGGGAATTAGAGGGGAAAATGAGGGAGGTGTCCTCACACACAGGAAGTGAAGAATGGATGTGCTCTTGGGAACTGCTGCCCAAGAAGAAGGGTCGAAATAATTCTAGAGTAAATTACTAGGTTTCTAGCTGCTCATTTTCACTGCCAGCTGAGCTATCCTTTCCTAAGAGCGCAAAGGCCGAATTTGTGCGGTGCCATTGCGTTGAAATCCCAGCAGCTGAGGTTGGGATGATATTAGCTCTTTAAAATCCTATGGCTCATCTACATCAGTCTTTCACTTTAATACATTTTAATCCCAATTGGCACTCTCTCTGCCACCCAGTCCTCTGGCCTGGTCTCCCCATCTTCTGCAGTTAATGTAAACTCAGAGGCTGCAAACCACATCAAGCCTGAATAAGAAAATAAGCCTTTAAAAAAAAAAAGAAAAAAGAAAAGCCTTCTAATATACAGGATCTGGCACAAATAATGCCCCTTTCTTATTACAAAATCATTTATTACAAAATCATAAAGATGTAATTCTTTTTTTTCCAATACACAACAAAATTCCTTTCAATGCTGGGTCATAAAATGTCTCAATAAAAATCAAAGGCTTGAAATCACAAAAAGTATATTCTCTGATCACAACACATTAAACTAAAAATCAGTAATAATAACTTAACTAAAAAATGCCCAAATATTTGAAAAATTAAACATACTTATTTGGTAACATCACACTCAAGCACATCATATGATATTTTAGGTGAAATGTTCAAATTGCAGTCCCTCTCATTCGAGACATTCATGTACCCTAGGAACCACACTCAAGCAGGTGTTACTTCTGCCAGACTCTGTGTATGTATTCCTAAAGGCAAACACAAATAATGCAGTAATGTGGGAATTATGTGTTGAGCCGAACTGTCTACTGTACTGCTCTGTTCCCTTGGTGAGGTTATTAAGGGATGGTGTGAGATGCTACTCCTCTGCTATATTAACCTGTCAAATTTATTTCTTCTACAGGAGCTATTTTCAACTGATTGTTAATGTTTAAAATGATTGCGTTATTGACTCCGAATTGTGTTACATGGGGATTTTTTTATGTGCTATTTAATTGATCTGTAAAATGGGACCACAGCAGTAACCTCCTTTGAAAATGCATTATGATGAACAATTGTATTATATTTGAAAAGGAAATTTAACTAATGTATGAGCCAGTCAGAGAACAGATTATACACAGTTGTTTTTCTGCCACAGACACTAAAATGTCTTTAAGACCCAGGGTGATACAAGTAGAAGACAAAGGGGTGGGGAACAGAAGTTAAGAACCTGAGTGATTAGTTAATGAAAATGTATGATATTCTTTTTTTAAAATATGCTTTAAAAATAATGATGTGTTTAGTCATCATGACAAAATGTTTGAATCAGTCATTTAAAACTCTTTAACTTTTCTGCATCTTCCCACACGCCTCACTCCACCCCTTCCCATACCACGCCTGGGTTGTTCCCATGGACCTTTCTCTCCTCCCCTTGTGCCCAGTCCCTCTTTCATGCCACTTCCTTGCAGAAGACGCACCAGAGTGCCCTGCAGGTACAGCAGAAAGCTGAGGCACTGCTCCAGGCCGGCCATTATGATGCAGATGCCATCCGGGAGTGTGCTGAGAAGGTTGCCCTCCACTGGCAGCAGCTCATGCTGAAGATGGAAGACCGGCTAAAACTGGTCAATGCCTCTGTGGCCTTTTACAAAACTTCTGAACAGGTGAGAGACAGGGCTGTGGGATATGTGAAGCTGAGGTTGATGGAGAATTATTTTCTGCCTCACGCTACAAATCTGCAGTATCTACCACACCAAGAAGCCAATCTTCCTACTAACCTTTGAGAGTAGGAGAATGATTTGTGGAAACATCATGGCTGGCTTCCTTATAACGCTTCCCGTTAGAGAAATGGACCATGTGACTTGTTTCTTATATACTTCTCGAACTTATTGGATCTAGCTGTTGAAATAGAAATTGTGTGGGTGTATACTGAGTGGTAAATTGGAGTGCTATTGTCCCAATAAAGCTGTGTAACAAATCACCGAAAAACTCAGTGGTATACAACAATAAGCATTCACATGTTTTGCCTAAGTATCCAGAGCTCGCCTGGTCTTGGCTGAGCTCAGTAGAAAAGGCTCCGAGCTGCAGGTGGGATTTGATCTGTTGCCATGTCTTTCATCCTCCTTGACCAGCAGCTACTTGAGGCACATTTAGGGTGAAAGGCAAGGATGCAAGAGCCCAAAATCTACTGTGAAAGTGCATTTCAAGACTCTGCTTATGTCACATGCTGTAACATCCTTTTGGCCAAAACAAGTCATTTCACCAAGCTTCCTATGGAAGCTGGGAGAGAAGAGTGACAATCTGCTGAACATAATCTAATCTGCCACAACCAGACACTATGCATTGCTTGAAAAGCATACAGTTCTTTTACTCATAGGGCTCCCAGTCTAATGGAGGAAACACAGCTCTCTGTCATTGAAGAACTGTGAGCCTAACTTGTAAGATGGTGTCATTGTGGGAGAAAAGGCAGGAAATATATACAGCAGGGCCATAAAGATGCAGACCCATAACCATTACATCTGTACAGCAATATGCACAAGAACTAAGAGGGTTTTTAAGTGATTTGGGTTTTTTAATGTTAGCGAATGCTTTCCATAAAATAGAGGCTTAAAACAGAAGTAATCGTATTCTGTGTAAAACACTTTTCCTCGTTCCAATTGCTCCCTAGTAGAAATAGATCACTTCTGGGTGGCTTATTGGAACCATGAGAAAGCGTCTAGGAGCAAATACAGCATGTCTGTCAGAGGGCCCTGCAGCCAGTGCTCTTCTCTCCACACCTTCTCTCAGCCTTTCTCTGTTGTTGCAGAGAGATGATGTCTTCAATCGCCACAGAAGTGGGAGCAGCAGACAAAGATGATAAAGAGCTCCCCAGCTGATCTATAGAATTCAACACAATCCCAATCAGACCCCAACAAGCATTTTTATAAAAATTGACATGCTGATTCTCTAAGGTTTATATGGAAATGCAAAAAAAACAAAAAAAACAAAAAACAATTTTGAAAAGGAAGAGCAAAGTTGAAGGAGTTATACTACCTGATTTTGAGGCTTACCTTAACGCTGCCATGATCAAGACAGAAGAGTACTGGATGTAACAATAGACTCAATGGAACTGAATAGAGGTCCCAGAAGACCCACATACATACAATCAGTTAATTTTTGACAAAGCAATTTAATAAGTGAAGTATTTTCAACAGATGATTCTGGACAACTGAGTATTCATATAAAAATGAAGCTTAATCCCTTACTATCACATACAAATTTTAATTTGAGATGGCTCAAGCTACTGAAGAGGACAGAGCACTAGATTAAGAGTCAGGAAATCTGACCCTGAGCAAACTTTGCCAAAGGTCAATTTACAACTCAAGATTTCTGTTTCTCTGCCTATTATATTAAAGAATGTGTGCTTGATAATCTTCAGCTTCCAAATTGATTGATTTGAAATCCACTACTGTCATGGGACAAGTATGAAGTACTTTTTTTCTTAAAAGTTTTTGAATGTCTATAGCGTTTTCTCTTAAGATATGAGCTGTCCTGAATGTTCCCATGCCTTGTCTAAGAGGAAATGTGTGGTGCTAGAGAAGTCATCTGGAGTTCAAGGACAGGCGTCTCATACATGAGAAGCCTGTTATATGAGGGTTTTCTGCCTAGGGCATCTTTCAGCTCAGTTTATAACTTAATAAATATGCTATCCAATGCCACACTCATCATCAAAAAGGATAATTTCTCAGTGAGAGGAGGCCAAGGATACTCATAGATGCTCTTGCTTGCTGCCATAGTTGAACAAGTAATCAAAGCCTATTGAAAGAAAGTCTAGGAACATGAGTTTCTGTTTGCCGCATCCTTCCCTTGGCTCTGACACGGGGCTGCCCCAGGTGTCCTATGGTTACATCCAACCTAACTTTCCCTCCAAGCCCCATTCAAAATGCTTTTGCTCTCTTGTGAGTTTATTTAAAAGGTCATTTAGAGCGTGGCCTCTCATAATTTTTTAAACTAAAAAGGCTCCTTAACTCTTTTTTAGGTTACCCAAATTTGTTGTCCCCCTGAAAGAAATGTACATTTTGCAAATGAAGGCCTAAAGATGTAATTGCCATATGGTAGTATCTTGAGACATTTTTGCTGGGATATTTTTTTCACAGGGAGAGGAAAGATTACATCCATTTATGACCCATAGTTGCACAATATATAGGCAACTTCCTTCTTTATCTCTGCTTGAAACTACTTCCTGTAGAGCAATTACAGATGGTTGGGCAACCTAAGTATCTTCTCCAAACCTCATTTTCCTCAACTACCTAATTCACAGAATTAACATGAACTTATATCAATAAAAACCCTCAAAAGTTACTTGTCTGTCTTCTACACAGTATCCCTGGGTGACATCATCAGTCCCCTAGCTTCAGCCTTTACCCATTGACTCAGAAGATGATTCCAAAACCCATATTTCAGTCTCAGTCTGCCTCCCAAGGTCTAGACACTGGATCTCACTGCCTTCTGGACTTCTCAAGTGTCCCAGGGGCACTGCATACCCTAAATCTACAAACTGAACTTCAAATGAAAAATTGTGCATCTGTACAGTGTTCTCTCTACTAAAGGTCCTCATAAAACACTTCCCAAATGATTGATTTACTGATTCTTTTTTTCCCCCCACAATCCATTAGGTTTGTAGTGTCCTGGAGAGCTTAGAGCAAGAATACCGGAGAGATGAGGACTGGTGTGGTGGTCGAGATAAACTGGGGCCGGCAGCAGAGATCGACCACGTCATTCCACTCATTAGTAAACATCTAGAACAAAAGGAGGCCTTTCTTAAGGTCAGAGCACATTGTCATCCAAGGTCTGGGACTTTTGCCTGTTCTTTCATCTACCTTCTTTCTCACCTTCCTCCTCCTTTCTCTGCCACCCCACCCCCACTCACATACACTGCATCATAAGGGCTTTCCATACCCCTGCTTTTTCTAGCTTCTTATCTAAAAGAAGGAATTTGTAGAGAGGATATTGGCTGGCTAACTTGAAAGGCTGAAAGGTCACACCTCAAATATTTACCTTATTTTTCCATGTATAATGAGCACTTTTTTGCCCAAACTTTTGAGGGAAAAATAAGGATGTACGTTATACATGGATAGTAGCTAAAATACCTTCTATCTGTTCTTGTGTCTTGTAATTATTTGTTACATAGAATTTCTTGTGCCATAATATGTTCAAAAGTAAATGCTAAAATTCCTTTATAATACAAAAAGAAGTATCTAAACATAAATAAAATATTGGATTATTAAATTAAAAAATTTTTTAAAAAAGATTTTTTTCCTGAAAGTTTGGGCCAAAAAAGTACGTGTGCATTATACATGGCAAAACACGATATTTCTCTCAGCACTTTTTGTATAATTGGGTAGTTAGGGTATATTATTACTACTGGTGCTTATGTTCAAATATCCCGATGTCCCATTGATGTTAATTGAGAAAAATACATGATTTCACTGTTATGTTTGGTTTATTAAAATATTTTTATTGAAATATATAAACCTAGATATAAAACAATATTAAAGTAAATCTTTATAAAGGAGTAATGCAATATTTAGGGCAAGAATTAAAAGCAATAAATGTAGGCATCTTATAAATTTAATAATTTTCAATTACTGATCAATTAACATTGTTTATTCTGCTATATGAAGAGAGCAATACCTTATATGATTTCCTTTACTTTTAGTAGAGCTCTAGCTTGCCAGGGAGGAGGCACAGGAGCTACTCCAAACAGGTTTTCAGCACATGTGGGAAGTCCTCCTAACCCTCCTTCCTCCAGGCTTTGATCTTCTCTCTGACAGAGTCTTCTGTGTTAAAACTTATCTGAAGGCTCCATTTACTCTCAAATTTCTTGCTTTCATGTTCTGCTTCCTCTCAGGTTTCTGAAGTACAAAAGAAAATTTTTATACCCTGACATGTTGCCACTAATTTTCTACAATTCTGTAATTAACTGCCTTTTTTGTATTAGGGATTTTCTCGACTGGACCACCTTATTGAGTTGTATTTTTTATTCTTTTTTTTTAAGATGGCCTCCCCAAGCCTTCCTCCCATGTATCCGTTTTTTGTACCTGCAGTCAATAAGAACCCTTAGTAATCAACTCTAACTAATGAGAGTAAATAGAAATTCTTCTGTACAGGGCATAAAATGATTTTAAAAGTCTTTCCTGTTATAAAACAAAATTTAAAACAAAACGACTTAGAGCATATCAAAGATTTTAAATAGAGGTATAAAGGTATTTCTTTATAAGAGCAAATGCTGCTTTTGAAGAAGGAAAAAAGAAAATGTTCTGATTAGATGTTTTCCACATGTGCCTAAAACCGTAGTCCAGAAACTCCCTGTTGTTATGGGAAGTATATACCCAATGGATGAGACATCAAGCTCTCCAATTGTGTGCATTAGTTGCCCTATTTTGGATTTCTTAGCTTTGAACCGCCATCTAGCTCTTAAATTCATGGGCCTCTAGATGGACCCACCAGCGGTCTTTTCCCAGAACTCTTAGAAGCCATTGTTGTTAATGCATCATTTAAACTATTTTCTACTATATAAATTGTAGAATCAGTTGCTAAGTGTAAAAGGTTTTAAAATTTGACAGTTTGGGCCCTGGCCAGGTCGCTCCATTGGTTAGTGTGTCATCCCAATACACCAGCGTTGCAGGTTCTGTCTCCAGTCAGGGCACATACAAGAAGGAACCAGTGAATTCATAAATAAATGAAATAACAAATCTCTCCCTTTCCTTCTCTCCCTTCCCTCCTCTCTCCTTCCCTTTCTTCTCTCTCTCTCTCTCTCTCTCTCTCTCTCTCAAATTAAAAAATAAAAAAATTTTAAATTTGACAGTTTTGTCTACAGATAATTTAATTCTGAAAACCGTGGATTAAAAATTTGTGGACTACCATATATTGTTTGTATAATCATGGAGAAAACCTGCTTCTTAAAGAAATTCACATCATCTGTGATCTTGAGAGAAACTAGAAATGCTCTCAGTAGGCCTAGATTCTAGCCCTGACTTGTTTCATGACTCCCGCCCTTTCAGGGCCTCCGTTTCCGCCATGGGTACAACAACGTGGGACAAAGCTGTCCTCTCTGCCACCCCTGCTATTGTTAGTCTTAAAAGAGCTAGTATAAGAGCTCTTCCTCCTTTAGGAAGAGTGATATTTCCCAGCAATAGGGTATTTATTATTGTTACTGAGATGGGGGTTAATTTGATGGACAAATAAAATTTTAAATGTGGGTAATAGCCATTTAGATTTGGAATGTATGGTAAAAAGGTTTGTTTCCCAAATTTACTTTCTCAGGTCTAAATTAAATTAATGTTAAAGTGACTTACACCAGTGGTCATATAAGAGGCATTCTAGTGGCACAGAAACACCAACCTGAGTGAGAGTGAATAGCAGTAATACTGACTCAGCTTATGCTAGTCAAGGGATCGCTGATTTCTGACTTTTATCTGAAATGGAAAGAGGAGAGACACACGAGGCAATTCTTTACTCAATAAAAGGGTGAACCTCTAGCACTGAGTGTCTATGAAGCAGAATGGCCTCTTGGTCTCTGGTTACCCAGAGCTTCAGAAGCCCCTCCTAGGTGTCTTGGATCCCATTTATCTGCTAGATCAGGACTTACGTTTGAGAGCTTCACACCTCTGTCTCCCTCAGGCCTGTACCCTGGCACGGCGGAATGCTGAGGTGTTTCTCAAGTACATCCACAGGAACAACGTCAGCATGCCCAGTGCCGCCAGCCATACTCGGGGACCTGAGCAGCAAGTGAAAGGTTAGTGTGAGACCTGCTGGCCACGATCCACTTAAGCATCACAAACCAGAGGCCATATACCTGGTCTGCATGCACTCTCAGGTTTCTTGGTTTTTCTCCTTGAATAAGAAAAAGTTAGATGTGGTTTGGCATGGACAGTGGTGATTCTTGGGAAACATTTTAAATATGCATCAAGATTTGGAATGGAAAAATGGTGATAAAATTCACCAAAGCTTTTTCATTTATTCATCTTAGAGTCTAGAGCAGTGCTAATAGAATTTTCTGAAATAACAAAAATGGCCAGTATCTATGCTACATGGTCTAGTAGCCATTAATCACATATAGCTATTCAGCACTTGTAATGTGCCTAGTACAACTGAAGAACTGAATTTTTACTTCTATTAAATATTAATCAATTTACTTTATTTTTTTTATTGTTCAAATATGTTTGTCTCCATTTTCCCACCACCACATTCCCCTGCCCCACCCAAACCCACCTCCCACCCTTAATCCTTCCCCACTTCGGCTTTGTCCATGGGTCTTTCATACATGGTCCTTGACTTGACTCTTCCCCTTCTTTTCCTCATTACCTCTCCCCTCTCCTCCCCTCTGAATACTGTCAGTTTGTTTTTTCTTTCAGTGTTGCTGGTTGTATTTTGCTTGCTTGTTTGTTTTGTTGATTGGTTCCACTTATAGATGAGATCATATGGTATTTGTCTTTTACCACCTGCCTTATTTCACTTAGCATAATGCTCTCCAGTTCCATCCATGCTGTTGCAAAGGGTAGGAGTTCCTTCTTTTCTTTCTGCTGTGTAGTATTCCATTGTGTAAATGTACCATAGTGTTTCTGATCCACTCATTTATTGATGGGCACTTAGGTTGCTTCTAGCACTTGGCTTTTGTAAATTGTGCTGCTATCAACATTGGAGTGCATAGGTTCTTTTGAATTGGTGTTTCAGGACTCTTAGGGTATAGTCCCAGAAGTGGAATCACTGGATCAAAAGGCAGTTCCATTTTTAGCTTTTTGAGGAAATTCCAAACTGTTTTCCACAGTGGCTGCACCAGTCTGCATTCCCACCAACAGTGTACTAGGGTTCCCTTTCCTCCACAACCTGGCCAGCACTTGTTGTTTGTTGATTTATTTATGATGGCCATTCTGACCAGTGTGAAGTGGTATGTCATTGTGGTTTTAATTTGCATCTCTCTGATGGCTAGTGATCCTGAGCATACTTTCATATGCGTTTGGGCCCTACGTATGTCCTCCTTGGAGAAGTGTCTGTGCAGGTCCATTTTTTAAATTGGATTGTTTGTCTTCCTGGAGTGGAGTCATGTGAGGTTTTTATATATTTTGGAGATCAAACCCTTGTCCAAGGTATCATTGGCAAATATATTTTCCCATACAGTTATTTCCCTTTTCATTTTGCTGATGTATTCTTTAGCTGTGCAGAGATCTTATTTTGATGAAGTTTCACTTGTTTATTCTTTCCTTTATATCCCTTGTTCTGGGGGACATACGGTGAAAATAGTACTGCATGGAATATCTGAAAGTGTCTTCTTTATCTTCTCCTCTAGGACTTTTATGGTGTCGCAACTTATATTTAAGTCTTTTATCCATCTTGAATTTATTTTTGTATATGGTGTAAGTTGGTGGTCAATCTTCATTTTATTGCATGTAGCTGTCCAGGTCTCCCAACACCATTTGTTGAAAAGGCTATTTTTACCCCATTTTATGCTTCTGCCCCATTTGTCAAATATTAATTGACTATAGGGACATGGGTTTATTTCTGGGCTCTCTATTCTGTTCCATTGATCTATGTGTCTCTTCCTATGCCAGTACCAGACTGTTTTGATTACAGTGGCCTGGTAATATAGTTTGATGTCAGGTATTGTGATCCATCCTACTTTGTTCTTCTTTCTCAAAATTGCTGCAGCTATTTGGAGTCATTTATGGTTCCATATAAATTTTTGAAATGTTCATCCTGTATCTGTGAAATATGTCATTGGTATTTTAATTGGGATGGCATTAAATCTATAAATTGCTTTGGGTAGTATGGACATTTTGATGATGTTAACTATTCCAATCCATAAACATGGTATATGCTTCCATTTATTTGTGTCTTCCTTAATTTCTTTCTTCAGTGTTGTATAGTTTTCAGAGTATTAGGTCTTTTACTTCCTTAGTTAAGTTTATTCCTAAGTACTTTATTTTTTTTGTTGCTAGAGCAAATGGGATTTTCTTCCTGATTTCTGATTCTGATATTTCATTGTTGGTGTACAAAAAAGCCTTCGATTTCTGAATATTGACTTTGTATCCCGTTGCTTCAGCCAAATTCATTTATTAGGTTGAGTAGTTTTTTGTGTAGTCTATGGGGTTTTCTACATACACTGTCATGTCATCTGCAAACAATGAGAGTTTTACTTCTTCCTTTCCGATTTGGATGCCTTTTATTTCTTTCTCTTGTCTGACTGCTGTGGCTAGGACTTCCAATATTATGTTTAATAGAAGTGATGAGAGTGGGCACCCTTGTCTTGTTCCCGATCTTAGTGGGAAAGCTTTTAGTTTTTACCTATTGAGTATGATGTTGGCTGTAGGTTTTTCATGTATAGCATTTATTATTTTGAGGTATGTCCCCTTTATTCCCACTTTGCTGAGTGTTTTTATCATAAACGGATGCTACACCTTATCAAGTGCTTTTTCCACATCTATTGATATAACCATGTGATTTTTGTCTTTCCTTTTGTTTATGGGATGTATTACATTTATTGACTTGCAAATATTGAACCATCCTTGCATGTCTGGGATGAATGCTGCTTGATCATGGTGGGTGGTCTTTTTAATGTATTGCTGGATGCGGTTTGCCAATACTTTGTGAGGATTTTAGTGTCTATCTTCATCAGTGATATTGGCCTGTAGTTTTCTTTCTTTGTTGTGTCTTTAAAATATTAATCAATTTAATTGTAAATAGCCAAATGTGGGTAACAGACAATGCTAGGGTATCTTAGAGCCTGGACATGAGACAAGTTCTAATCCTGGCTTTATTACTTCTTGCTTAAGCTTTTAAAAGTTTGGTTTCCTTATTTAAAAATAGAGAAAGATATCTAGATTCTTGCTGCTTAAAATGTAGTCCCCAGACCAGCAGCATTGACAGCACTTGGGAGCTGTGAGAAACACGGAATCTCAGGCCCCACCTATGCCAACTGAGACAACCTGAATTTTAGTAAGAGCTCCCCATGCCACACTAACCAGGTGATTTGTGCGTACATAAACTTTAGGTACTTTAGGTAAACTTTAGCCTAGATAATCTTTAATATCTCTCTGAATTCTATAAAATTTTTGCCTGTATAAAAAAATCAGGAACCTTTAAAAACTACTCATTAGCTGATCACATTAAGCTTAAATTATTGGAATCACTTACTCTGGATCACACAAAAATTCACCTTTGAGTGGGTATAGAATTTAACAACTGTTGTCCTGGCATGCAGAGAAATGAGACCCTGGAGACTGAGGCTAGGAAGGGAACTGAGACTGAATTGGAGTCAGGGGTTGGCGGGGACAGGCCTGAAGAGCTGTAGAGTGGACCGCAGGAGGTGCTGATCTGCTTGAGGAAGAGCCTCCCTCCTGCTCAGAAAGCTCCCCTGGTGAGAAGATCAGAGGCCAATAGGAAGAATTAATTTTGGGAATCAAAGTCCCCTACAGAGAAGAGGGAAGCAGAGTTCATTTTCCAGGTCTGCTACCGTTTGTGTTCGTGCAACCCTGTGTCTGACTGGCATTATGTCAGCCTCCCCTTCCTGTACATTTCAGAGCACATGTTCTGACTTCCAAATGCAGGTGGCAGCCTGGGTGAGACCAACCACCTGCTGAGAACAGACACTCCACCTATACCTTAGTATGCTAAGAGTGACAGGCACACAGAGAGAATGTTACAACTTTGTGGGGCTGCGGGCAAGTTGTTGCCCAAAGAGAAGCTTTTTAAAAAGGAGATAAAAGGACTCATGGACAAAACCAAAGGGGAAGAGCTGAGGGAGGGAAAGAAGGAGGGGGCAAGGGAAAGTGGTGCGGGGGAGGCAGAGACAAATATATTTGAAAAAATAAATTAAAATAAAATTTAAAGAAAAAAAAAATGAATCCTGAAACCATTTAGGATTTTTGCCTGATGTGGGTTGATTCTGGCAACTACCATAGGGGGAGCTGCAATGAGCAGAGCTCTGACCAGGAGACCAAAAGATTAAAGGAAACATAGGTTCTCACTCATCTGCCCAATTGAAGCTTCTGCCCGAGCAGGGATGTACATTCTTCCCTATATCCATTTCCTTTCCACTTGCCGCCTGGACCCAAAGCAGTGCCACTTACTTTAATTTTTTGTACAGGAGCAATGATTGCTACAAAAACAACCAAAAAATTCAGTGGTATACTGTTGTAAGCATTAATTGTTCAAGTGTGTGTGCAGTAGCTGGGGATCAGCTATCTTGGCGGGGCTCGGTAAGGCAGTTCTGCTTCAGGCTGCAAATCTGGCTAGCACAGCTCCTTCAGTGCAAGTTAGGATCTTATCTGCTCCACATGTGTAAATTCTGGGACCTCAGTGGAAGGGACAGCAGTTACCCAGGATAACTTCTTACAGTGCTGATGGCAGAGACAAGAGGCAAGGTCAGTCCACAGCACATTTCAAGCCCCTCCTTATGTGGACTCTGTTAATCTATTTGCCAAAGTAAGTCACAGGGCTGAGCCTGAGGTCAGGAGTGAGAAAATACATTTTGTCTCTTTAGTGAGAAACTAAAAAGTTACATGGCAAAGGCATAGATATAGAGAGAAGTGAATAATTGGGGCCTATAAAGGCTCTCAGGCTGAGAGAGGAAAGACAGATTCTGTCCTTAGAGAACCAGACTTCCATGGAGCATTAAAAATGCACAAAATCAACAAAAACTTTTAAGTATAAGTATAAGCACTGCGATTTGGCTTGTCCTTTTTTTTGTAGAGTGCAATAACTTGTGCTTTACAGCCCCAATTAACCTGGAGACCAAGATGCTTAAGGACTTAGGGTCTAAAGTCAAACAGCTGTACCCCCTCCTATCTGAATGACCATGAGCAAGTTACCTTTGCTCTCTAAACCTCAATTTCTTCATCATAGAATGGAGATATTAATTGTGCATGCATCATGAGATATTGTGAAAATATGTGCCTGCCACATAGTGAGGGCTTAACAAATATTAATTTTTTATATAATCCTATTGTGTATTTTATTGACATCTAATATGGTTAGCTGCAAGCAGGAGGCAGACATAATACAAAATAAAGTTGATTGTTTCAAGCATAAAACATTCTATTAAAACACCTAGGAAATCTATCCATGTAGCCAGTTGCTCCTGAAACAAAAAAAGAAGGGAGGGAAATAGCATGCACAAACACCTCCCACGGCCCACTGTGGTGCTATATGCCTTGTTCATATCGTCACGCTTAACATCACTGGAGGTAACGTGAGACCAGCTTTCAGTTTTTCTTATGATCGGATCCCAAACAACATGGAAGTTTAGCCCTAGAGATACGATTCCCTGTGGACATGATTCCAATACAACTTCCCTTGGCCTACAATTTGGAAGTTCTAAAATTGAGGGTCTACCATTACAGTGCTGTTTGCACAGCCTTGTGAGCAAAGCAGAGAGTGTGGCTCATGCCTCAGGTTACCCATGCAGTTCCACCATCCATTATGTCACGGTTCCCTCTCACCCTATCCTAGAACTCCTCAAGAATGGACTCCTCGGGTCCACTCACTCTTATAGGCTCCAGGGGCCAACTGAGTTGTTAATTTAGGGACTGGCACTCCTTATGGCCTCTTACTCTCAAGGACAAGCTTTGGTGTGAAAAGAATCAGGGTCACTTTTAAGTCATCCTAGGGACATACTCTTCCCTCATTAATTGATAGAACCTCATGAGCAGTTTCTCACCCCAGTCACTTCCATCTTGTTCCCCTCTGGGAAATTTTCTCTGGACCATGCTTTTGCTCCCTTGCTTCTGATATCTGGGTTAGTCCTATGGGGAGGCATGAAAGGCCCCAATTATCTCACACCTGGGATGTGGGGCTGAAGCGGCTGGTCAGATTTGTTCAGGGTGTTCCTGTGACCAGTGTTCATCTCTACCCTGCAGCCATCCTGAATGAGCTTTTACAGAGGGAGAATCGCGTCCTGCACTTCTGGACCTTGAAGAAGCGGCGGTTAGACCAGTGTCAGCAATACGTGGTGTTTGAGCGCAGCGCTAAGCAGGTATGTTCAGAGCTTTCCCTGGCTTTACCTCAGTTCAAGGGGCTAGAGAGTGGCCAAGATGGCCTACACTTGGAATATCCAGAAGAGGGTCATAGCAGGTAGGGTGAAGAAGATGGGAGGCGAGGATGAGAAGAAGGAAACAGGCTGCCACTTCCCGGGCACTCAGCCTTTACCAAGCGCTCTATTTAGAGTTTGGCACCAGGAGTTGGGAAGACATTCTCGGAAGGATTACCCCTAATTCATGGTAATATTGGGCCAGTCTAATGGACAAGACACTCTCTTTGTCTGTGGGACGATCCAAGTCTAACGGAGGAGGGCTCATTTATAAAACCAACTTCTAAGCTACGTACTGATCAAATCATGTCAGCATTTCCTGGGTCCATCACGCTGTCCCAAACCACAACTTTCATGGTAGCATGGCATGTTTTCTTCCTGACAGCTGGCTTTTGGTGGACTGGGTGTGTTGTTTGCTCCCACAGGCGCTTGACTGGATCCAAGAAACAGGTGAATATTACCTCTCAACACATACCTCCACGGGAGAGACCACAGAGGAGACTCAGGAACTACTGAAAGAATATGGGGAATTCAGGGTGCCTGCCAAGGTAGGAAGCATCCCGGGCCTTCCTCAAACCTACCCCAGCATTCTCCAATCTGTCCAATTTCACATGTGGAAGGGAGAACAGCCTCTTGCACAAAAATGCTTAACCACAGTGGCAAGGAGGGGAAGAACAGGTAAGGTTATCTCCTGTGAAACCCGAGTACCCAATGAATTGCAACTGCTAGGTACAGCATCTGTATGCAGAAAGTCAACTTCTATACGCTGTACTTCCAAACGCTCTCTTCCTGCTCCAGGTTCTAGAATCTGCTATATTTTTTCAGGCCAAATAAGGCAAAGGGATATATTCATGAGAAATGCACATTGCATGTGTGAACCTCTACACCTAGCCACATGTTCTTGAAATCTGAATGGCTCAGAAAATCCACCTTATGGGAAGGGCCAGTGGCTATGGGTGGGTTCACAAAACAGGTGAGTTTATTTCCAGTTTAAACCCATGATGTTCAAGCATCAACTGTACTTCTGTTTGGCCTCAGACCTGCAGATGAGCCAGGCTGGGGTCTCTGGGGACCGAATGTGCACTGGTGCACATACCACACACCCTCACACTCGCATTCACACTGAGGCAGAGAAGGCTATGATAGGAGGAAATCTCACTTTCATCATTTGTTCACAGCCAGGATTTGATCTGAGGACCCTTGGGCTTGAATGAAAATCTGATCTGTGAGTTCCCTCTCTGTAGGGTCCTTGTTCCTCACCCTGGCTCCCTGTCATGGAGGAACCTTTCTTGGCATCATTTCCATGCAAAGCAAATGCTCTTCCCAGGTTGAGAACTGATTCTGTGGGAGTCAATGTGGGCACATTAATGCCCTCCCCTCCCCAGAGGTCCCTCTGACAGTATGGGAAATGTTCCTCTCGTTTGCTGTGACAAAGTTAAGCCCTCAGCTTCATTTCTGAGCTGATGTTTCAGAAGTGGCCACCCACTTTATGGAGCCTCCACTATGAATTCTTGATAGCGGTAGGCCTTCCCCTGCATTCTTGTGAGCCTTTGGGCCTTTTCACCCAATGTGAAAAGCTCTCATTTTGGGTAAAAGACTCATTTCAATACCAGCTAGAACAAACAGCACTAGGAAGGTGGCAGGTACACCGAACTCTTTTCAAATCCAAATGAAAATGGCTTTGAATTAGCCACTTTGCATTATCTGCCCTTCTCTAAATAGTGTCAATAATGAATTGTTAATAAGCCAAACTGTATGAGCTCCACCAGTGTTCCTACTCACATAAGGATGGATCACAGCAGATACCCAGAACTTCCTAGAATCAGAATATGTCCGTAACCAAAGCGGAAATGTGGAGAATCAGTCAGTCAATTTAATCCATTCTTCCTTTACCATCATCTTCCTACCTTTCCTCTTTTCTACTCACATTGTTACCAGCCCAACTGGGTTTCATGCTTTTGGCCTTTCCTTCCTTTCAGTCTATCCTGCTCTTCATTGCTGTTCATCTGTAAAGGACTACTGTGGTTACATTACTACCCAGTTCGGGAACTTAAATGATTCGCCAGTGCTTGAGGCTAACACTCCACAACTTCTATAACTGATACCTTGCCACCCCCACTTTATCTTTAATTATTCTTTTATGCAAATTCCAGCTGAAAGGATGTACTTTCTTACTCTCTGAGAGATACCTGATATACTTTCTTGCCTCTGTACCTTTTCCGTACCATTTCTTTGCTTACAACATCCTTTCTTCCCTCTAGTACAAACTTTTTAAAAGAGCCCACCTTTCTACTTCAGTGCCCCCTCCCCTGTGATCCTGCCCAGCCCTTGTCTGTATAGCCCTTGAGGCCCCTGGTATGGACTCTCCTGTTCTCCAGTGATCTGTGTGCAATGTTATCCCCTGTATGAGCCAGCAACTTCCTGAAGGACAAGAATCACTCTTTATTCACTTACCTGACTTATCTTTTGCATTGAAAGGAAGGGCCATTGGATTAAAAGCATTTGTGAACATAAGGGAAAAAGGAAATTTGGAAAAAAGGAATCATTAAATATATCGATACTGTATTTAATATGATTCCTTTACTTTGATGCTCTCAGTTGTTTCTCCTTCTTAACTTAGCTGTTTCTCTTAATGGGGTTTCGTTCTCTCATCTGTCATGTTCCAAGTCTCAGGACTATTTGGTATTGGTATAACTACAGAATAACAAATCCAGTTGAGGAGCTTCTGATGAAAGGCAGCAGCCTCTTGCTCACCCCAGTCCCATTTCCCTGAGGAAAACCTTTCTTAAACAGACAGCTTTGGTTTTAATCTTTATAACCAATAAAAGAAATTTGAAATAAAAACCCAATTGACATTAAACAACAGAGAATAAATACAGTGGACCTTATGACTGAACAGGGCCATAGAGTATATTGAATTACTATACTCTGCTCTAAAGAAACAGATCAAGTAAAAGAAACACTGAATATAAAAATGTACTTTCTAATAGCAATCCGCAAATGCATGCCATCAACAATCCAGTTAGAGGAATACAAATGATATTTTCCTATGGTTTTAAATTTGTAAGGGGTCAAGGCACACAGTGATAAGAAAGCTTAATTGACATCCGGAAGAACTCCTTTCTTCTAAAAGCACAGCTTCTTAAAAATGTTTTTTGTTTTTAACTTCTTAAAATTTATTCCTTCTTAGTATAGTCACAGGGTGTGCAATCACTGCCGCTATCTAGTTCCAGAATGTTTTGATCATCCCCAAAACAAACTCCATACCCAGTAACTGTCACTCCTCATTGTCCCTCCCCTCAGGTGCTGGCAATCCCTAATCTATCTCTGTGGGTATGCCTGTTCCAGACACTTGGTAGAAATAAAATACTAAAATCATAGTAGTCTTTTATTTGTAGTCTTTTATTGTAGTCTTTTATTTGTAGTCATAGTATTTTATTTGTAGTCTTTTGTGTTTGGCTTCTTTCATGTGGCATAGTGTTTTCAAGATTCATCCATGTTGTTGCATATATCCATATTGCATTTTTTGTTATGACTAAATAATATTCCCTTATGTGGAAATACCCCATTTTGTTTATCCATTCATCAGTTGATGGGCATTTGGGTTGTTTCCACTTTTCGGCTATTATGAATAATGTTGCTGGGAACGTTCGTGTACAAGTTTTGATGTGAATATATGTTTTCCATTCTCTTATGTATATACCTGGTAGTGGAATGACAGGGTCATATGTTTAACTTTTTGAAAAACTGTGAACTGTTTCCCAAAGTGGCTACATGATTTTACATTTCCACCAAAAATGTGTAAAAGTTCAGACTTCTCCACATCCTCTGTAACACTTGTTACAGAAACTTTTTTATATAGTCATCCTATATAAAGTATAAAGTGGTCTCTCACTGTGGTTTTTACTTACATTTCCCAATGAGTAATGATATTGAAAAGACACTTTTTTAAACTGGCAATTTTATCTCTGAAAGAAGCTATGATATAAACTGGGCTTAATTATTATTAACAAAAGAGAAGTAAGGGATAATGAAAGTTACTGGAGCCTTAACTGAACTAAGTTATGTCCTGGAATTGAGATTGTGAGAAAAGAGAACTGTGGGCATGCCAGGTAGACCCTTCAGAATGAGAAAAATGGAATCTAAACAGTTCGGATAAAAAATGGGCATAATTATGTTTTTGACACTCTTCAGAGAAATACAGCTCACACATTATGTATATTATTGAAAGGGTTAGTTGTTTATATGTAATGACAAACTCTCCTATGGAATGAATATGAAGATATATAACAACAGAACTGTTTACCCACACAGGGCGCTCAATAGGTTCATATATGCAAAGAATGTATGAATAACTAAATAAAAAGACTAAAAGCCATGAAATGCAAATTAGAAGTTTATACTGAAATTATAAGAATAATACCAAAAAGCTAAATCTTAAAGGCTTATGAAATGTGCTAAAGATACCAAGAGGGTTTTTGAACAACTATATTCAGTATAAAGCTCGCTGATTAGGAGAAGATAGTATAATGTTAAGTGGTCAAAGGAAAGAAGAAAAATTTTAAAAAGAACGACTGAATCCTTCATTTTTTACTAGCAGATAATATAGAATTCAAAGTGGTAATGGCAGAACATATATTAGTGGACACATGAAGCAAAGATAAGGGAGATATCAGTTCCAAATTTCTGGGCCCAAATGAATTATATTCCCCCAAAGTTTCCCTTTTTGTCCACAAGATCATGTGCATACTTATGAAACTAACATTCAAGAACTGCACAACCTGAGTTTCAAACTGGCTGAGGTTATGAAAGGGAAAAGATATTGTATGGCCACATGTGGAAAGTAAAGAAGATAGAAATTATGTTGTTGGACCTCCAGGAGCCTAGGAAATGCTGAATGACTCAGCCTTATGGGAAAAACAGGAAATACATCACAGTCTCACCTCTACAGGTATACTCAAGACTAAGGGCAGTTCCAGCAGCCCTATTATCTGGTCATCTCATCACAGGGCATCAGGAATATATTACCACCATTCAGCTTCCTTTCACTTCTGCTCTCTGCATTTTCACTTTTTCTCTGCAACTGACTACCCAGTGAAGTCTTTGCACTTCATATACCCAGAGAAACCAGCTCAATTGACCCAGTATATTGCCACTGTCCCTGTTTAGACAGAGCTTTTAGGACAGGACAACTCAGAAGTGACTGGCTGCATATAGATGGGCTGCCCTTGTGGGACAAGCTTTTACCTTGGACCTCATCAGCTGTGGCCAGGCATGTGGCAGGTCACATGATACCACCAGAGTCACTAACATATGACAAATCATTTCCGACTGCTCTCAGCAAAGACTGTGGGCATGGTTGGTGTCCAGTTCATTGGCTAAGTTTATCATCTAATTCTTCCCAGTAAAAACCCTCAACTCTTACTGGTCTAGTTTTATACACCTCTAAACAAGATTTACTCAGTCATTTGCTCATTTACTTATTCTACATTTATGGTATGCCTGCTATTTTCTAGACATTGAAGATAATTGAATAAGATATAATACATCTTTTAGGAATTCATGGCCTAAAGAAGGAAGCACATACATGATTCAATGTGATACATGCTAAAGTAGAGACATATATGCGCTGGGGGAACACTGGAAAGGGCATCACCTGCTCAGATTGTGGGGAGGAGAGGAGATGAAGAAGGGCCATTGGATTAAAAGCAAGGAGAAGTAGGACCACTGATCACAGCAGGAGGGACATGTGAGTTTCAACATGGCTGCAGGCTGGGGGCCATGGAGGGCAGTTGGGACAGTCACGGATGCAGGTGAGTTCTCATTGGGGAAGGGTTTGTCTATACTGCACATTTTATTGTCTATTTGCTCTCTCAGATTCCACACTTACTTGGAATACTCTTGGCCACAAGCTATCCTTTTTGTTGACTCTGAATCACAGTTTTGATGTTTCAGGATAAAATTCCCTCTGGTAGGGCTACTGCCACCAGCTTTCCCATAAAACCCCATCTCATGCTGAAGTCTCCTTACAAAGAGAAGAGAATAAACATGTATTTCCAAGACTTTTCACATAGGTGGATTTCTTGTTTAGAGCTGCAAAAATTAGTCTCTGTTTTAAGTAAATAACAAATCTAAAAAACGGTGTTTTTTCGGTGGTTGGGGCGTGGGGAGGCTAAATGCAATAAGATCAAAGTCCTTAGGATACCGGGTGTCTTAACCAGTTCCCAATACCACTATTCTTAGTCTTTTCATGGCTAAGGAGATGTTTCTCCTGTCCTCATACCCACTTTCTCTTCTTCACACCTAAGCTCTTCAGGCTCCTTGTCTCCCAGCCCTGGGGGCCGGACCACAGTCCTGAGACAGGAGAGACTCAGATGTGTTGAGTGAGTTGCCACAGAGTTAAAGCCTGCTTCTCCCTGGCCACATGGCAGGCCAAGTCCTCTCTGCTTGCCTCACTGGCATTTCTTGGGTGGGTCAGTGACATGGGAAGGGCTTTAATGAGCCTGGAAAGGAAAAGGGAGGGTGAGAAAGACTCTTCTGTCTTTTCTACTATTCCTCCAGTAATTTCCTGCCTATTTCCCTCAGCAGTCTAGACTCTAGCATGATCCAAACTTTGGACCTATGTTCCTCCAGTCCAAAAGATAAGTTTACCTCCAGAGTATTATTTCTGTATTCTTTCCTTTCCCTTAAAATCTATTAGGCTTCCCTGATTGATTTTAGAGTTTCAAAGTTGAAACCTAAGATAAAAGATGAGCAAGTGTTACTTGTTTGAACATTCCTTCCATTTCCTTATCTTACCCAACATGAAGCCCCACCTATGAGACCTTTTATGCCCATGCCAGCCGACCTTTATTTTCTCCTGTTCTAAAATTCCTGCAGTATTAACTACACACACTTCTCATTTTGGCGTTCAATTTCATAATGCCCTGAGTTGTTTAACCACCCTCTATGAAAATCTTGTCCCCTCTAGAGATATAGACTGTTTGGGGAAAATGAGTGTCCTTTCTCTTCTTTTGTTTATCCCCCTAGATTCTCCCCACAGCCCTCTACACAGTCGTGTGGACAGAGTAGGTGTTGAGCAAACTCCTGCTAGAATGAAATTAACCCAATACACCTTACTTAGCTCTGTAATAGATACCAGCTTTATTAATTCTTCTCTCTCTTTCTCTGTGGAAACTAAAGACAGACCTGGGAGTGAAAGGGACATGGTTTACTCTTAAATCTGCTAACTGGATTTCTTTATATCCTGGCATGTGCCACCTTACCTGATGCTTGGAAAGCCTACTTCAGGCCAGTACAGTGAAGGGAGAGAGCTAGCAACTATGGAACAGCAGCAGACAGGCTCTGTTATTCACAGGTGCTATGAACTTGGACAAGTCCTAAGTTTCTCAGCCCCAGTTTTTGTTTTTGTTTTTTCATCTATGGTTTTAAAGAGACCCGCACCACTTTCCTCCACCTAGCTCCTAGGGATGCTTTAAAACTCAGATGAGTTTCAGATGTGACATTAACATACTCTGTAAGCTGGTAAAGGACTATATGAGTGTAAGAGGTTCTTACATTAATAGTCACAATGACTAACATGTATTGCTTACTGAGTTCTTACTGTGAGCCCTGTGTTTCAGGCACCGCTCTAAGCATTCTACATTGCAACTTATGTAATGCTCACAACACCTTTATGGCTTAGGTACTGTTATAATCCCTATTTTGCAAATGAATGAATTGAGGCACAGAGGGTTTAAGTAATTTGCTCATGACCCCCCAGCTAATAAGTGACAGAGCTAGGATGTAAACCCAGTCCATGAGCTATCTATGGCTGCTGTAAAGAAGAATAAAGGAGATGGGGGTGAGGGCTTTGAGAGTAAATGTAACCTAATAACTTAAAACCATCTTTTGGGGCAGCAAACAAAGGAGAAGGTGAAGCTTCTAATTCAGCTGGCCGATAGCTTTGTGGAAAAAGGCCACATTCATGCCACAGAGATCAGGAAATGGGTGACCACGGTGGACAAGCATTACAGAGACTTCTCTCTGAGGATGGGAAAGTACCAGTACTCCCTGGAGAAAGCCCTAGGAGTCAACACAGAGGTGGGTATGGGGGCTGCCCAGCGGGGACATCCTCCTTTCTTGTATCCCTCAGTGCTACTGCTGGCATTGCCATGGAAGGAAGCATGGTTTCCAGAGCAGTCTTTCTGAGCTGTGAACCCTACAGCATTTGCCTTGGGTCATTTTCTAGTGAAGGGATGGATCTTCCTGATCCATCTTCCTGGGCCGTTGGCCCCTAGCCTTGCATAATTAGTGATATATATTCAATATATGTAGAAAAATTGGCTGGTTGCAGTTGGGGCCTGTGGCTACAGAACAAGAGTTTTGCTGTGTGAAGTTAATTGTTGGCTTTGAGGACTAAACCCTTTATCTGGGCTTCATCATACCATCTTCTACCCAGTTATGTTAATCAGCAAATTATTAGAGTCATCAGTATGTATAACAGTGCTCTTTCAAGAATAAAGGATATAATCTGTACAAAGGTTATTTGACATTTCACGTGAAAAGAGGAGCTATTTACCATGAAGCTGGGGAAGACAGACTTTTAATCTTTTCTTTATAATAGGGGTCAGTGGCCTGTGAATTAAGAGCTAAACACAGGCTGGCAATTCAGTGCTAGGATTTCTAATTCTTAAATCTTTAAATAGGCTCATGCTCTGAAGGAGAGCAGACTAGACAGCAAAGCAGTCAAACCAGTGAAATTAGGCTTTAACCTGTGAGATTTTTTTCCTAGAAGTTTCCATCTTATATAAGTACCAGTGTTGAAGTAAGCGGGGGTGGGCTATTAAAAAATCCAGTAATTGTTTTCTATTTCCAAAGAATTTGCTTGTTTAAACAAAAATATTTGCTTTTATTATTTTCCCTTGACAAATGATAGTAGATTCTTATGTCTTTATGTGTTTCTTTTTCACATATATTTTAATGGGTAATCATCAATCTTGGACTAATATTGTGTGTGCGCACATGTGCCTGTATTTAGATTTAATCAGAACCGAAGTCCTTGAGAAAATATGACACTAATTATCAAATATGCTCATTGTTTTTCCTTGCCATGGATGTTAGCCCTAAACATTTGAACTGAACATTTCATATGTTCCTTATTTGAAAAAAATATCACATGAAGAAGAGTGCTTGTGAGTAGCAGTCTGTGGGATTCCCCATCTTCTCATCCTCCATTATATCTTTCTGTTTTTTGCCTCTTCCACCCTCCACAACTCTGCTTAGTTGCTTTCCCAAAGCATCTCTAAGGTGACCTCTGTGATCTCTCTGTAGGATAACAAGGACCTGGAGCTGGACATCATCCCAGCAAGCCTTTCTGATCGTGAGGTCAAGCTGCGGGACGCCAATCACGAAGTCAATGAAGAGAAGCGAAAGTCTGCCCGGAAGAAAGAGTATGTTTTGGTGGGAGGACTTCCATCCAACCAGCAGCCTCCTCATGACTATGTTTGGTTTTCTTTGTGTCCCTTTACAGCTTGATGTGTGCTCATGACTATCTCCAGAGGTTAGAATGGACATACCTGATGCTTCCACCCACATTTCACACTAACCAAGAATGATAGGGCATTGGATAGTGGAAACAGTGAATCATGTCAACTTCACAAAGCATTGCCTGATTACTCTGCTTTCTTTATGTTGGTGTTGCACAGTTACACATATCCAGAGATCTCCAAAAGGATTTATAAGCCTATTTTTCCAGATTCCTTTTGGGTAATGCTGGGGGAAAAAAAGTGTTTGCTAAGATTAAGAATCCCTAGGTGGCTGACTTTATAAAAATGAAGTAGGACAACAGGTCCTTTGGAACTGAAGAAGCTGAAGCTGGTCTGCTAAGTAGATTTTTTGTTTCACCTAGGGAGTATACTAGTTTGCCTAGGCTGCTATAAGAAAGTATGAAAAATTAGGTGATTTAAACAACATAAATGCATTATCTTACCATTCTGGAGGCTAGAAGTCTGAAATCAAGGTATTGACAGGGTTGATTGCTTCTAAAACCTAAGAAGGAAGAATCTTTTCCAGGCATTTCTCCTTGCCTTAGAGATGGCTGTCTTCTTGTTCACATGGCGTTCTCCCTAAATATATGCATTTATCTAGATTTCCCCCTTTTTTAAGGATACTAGTCATTTTGTAATAGAGGCTCACCCTATTCCAATATAACTTCATCTTAACTAACTAATCTGCAATGACTATTTCTAAATAAGATCACATTCTGAGGTACTGAGAGTTTGGACTTCAACGTATGAAATTTGGGGGATGGGACATAATTCAACCCATAAAAGGGAGAATAGACCACACTTGACCAAATCTTGCTGCTGGGCTCTCTCTGGGGCACCAAGTAGCCAGAGGATGGTAAAGGTAGTGGAGCTAAATTATGAAGAAAGACACAAAACTGCAGGAAGCAGATGGAGAAAAAGAAGGAAGAAGGCAGAAGAATGCCAGAAACTCAATGCAGTAAAATCAAAGACAACTTTCCTGAACATGTCAAATTCTATTCCTTCTGGCCTTCTTTCTCTCCGTGTTTACTAAGTACCTACAATGTACTAGAAACTTTGCTCACATAATACTGTTTAATTAATTCTTGCAGCAATCCTGTGTGACCAACTGTTTTATAAGGAAGGAGTCTGAGGCTGGGAGAAGCAAGTGCTCCCTCTAGTAAATAACAGTCATAATTCAATTCCTATTTGTCTGACTTCAAAGCTCATGCACTTTCCACTTTGCCAATAGAGTAAGAATAATAAGAGAGTGGCTAATTAACTCCTGCAAAAGGGAATTTCTTTAATCAATACTTTAATTGTAATAGGAAAGCCACTTCTAGTACAATGTATTGCTTTAAGCAAAACCACAATAAAGGTCCAGAAAAATATGCTGCTTGTTTTAATATTTCTTGTAATTTCCGACAGGTCACACGTTAGGGGCAAGGTTTCTCACAATTTTCATGTGGTGGAACACCTGGAAATGCTACCATGAAAACTAACATGGAAAATCTAAAATAAACATAAATACATACTTAGTGCCAAATTATATATTATTGTGTATCACAAGATAGCTGGGAAGCACCATTTCTAATAAAAATTTGCAAAAGAAGAAAATTAAGTTGGTACACTACAGTGAAGCCATGCATCCATCATAAGCTTACCAGCTGCCCAAGCACATTGTGTTATTAGGGAACCTTGCCTTGCAGATGTGCTGCACAAGCTTCTATTTGTGGGAGACTGAAGAGCAGTCATTTAACATTGTCCACTTGTGCTGTGCTTCTCATCACACACTCAATTTCATGCTCATCAGTCTGTGATGTAAATGAGCCCCATTACAAATGACATTGAAGTGCACAGGCCAAAGGTCAGCAAACAATGGCCCACAGGCCAAATTTGACCCACCATTTTTTTAAATTAAACTTATTGGGGTGATGCTGGTTAACAACCAACTGTTTTTATATAGTCTGTAAGCTAAAGGTTCTTTTTTATATTTTTAAATGACTGAAAAATATGAAAAGAATAATATTAGTGATGTGAAAATTAAAATTCTTTCATGTCCAAAAGTTTTATTGGGACACAGTCACACTTGTTTATTTATTTATTCACTTACTTACTTATTTATTACATATTGTCTATGGCTTCTTTCACACTACAACAGCAAAGCAGAGTGGGTATAACAGAGACTGAATGGCTCTTCGCAGACAAAAGTCACTAACCCCCCAGCCTCAGTGGTAGTATCTTAGCATTTGTTATTTTTAGCTCTGAAACCTGGTTTAATTTAAGGTACTATGAATTGTTTTGGTATAAGTCAACAACTCCACTAAACAGAAATCATTGTTCTTGGAGCTGTAAGAGAAATGTAGGAAGCTATCTAGTTGGTAAGAATGAATATGAATGGTGCAGCATGCTGGTGCACACATGTAAACACATGTGCAGTTGAAAACACATATCTGCACAGAATCACAAAGTAGAAGAACTGGGATGGAAAAGGGAGAGAGGGTGTGGAACTAGCTGAGCACAAACATGCCAAAGGGATACAAAGCAAATGATCAGAATGAGGGGGACTCAGACTTAATACTCAGAGGCAACGAGTTTTGAAGAAAGGAAGAGATATATTTTGGTAAAGTAGAAAAAGAGGACATTCAATAATGTCATACATGCCAAGGTGGGAAAGTGAAGTGTGAAGGAGGGGAGATATTATATCTCTAACCAACTAAATGCCATTGTGTTTCCTTCCAGATTCATTATGGCTGAACTGCTCCAGACAGAGAAGGCTTATGTAAGGGACTTGCATGAGTGCTTAGAGGTAAGTCTTGTGGTAATCAGTTTACAGCTATATTAGAAAAATGACATCCTTGACAGTGTCAGGTCCTTGAGAGGAGCTCAGTGCACTTTGCCTTCTCCCAGAGTTTAACTATCAGAGTCAGTAGTAATTACATGGGTACTTTTGAAAAGAAACTGTTTTCATACCCAAGTTATACCTAGCAAAAAAGTGTGTAAGACCCTTGAGTTCCAAATAAAAACCATGACACAATGAACTTGGTCTGAAAATCTGCATCCTCCACTCAACACACACTTGAACATGCACACATTAAAAAATAAATAAGAATAGTGTGAATTTTGTGCTCTGACTAAAGGTCAGGATGTGTTTCCCTAGCACCAGTTCAAGATAATGGGACTTGGATTTTCTTTCTTTCTGTCTTGCTTGTTTACCGTCTCACTTTTTACACTCTGCACTCATTGCCAGTCTGAGTCTTACTCCACAAGTTTGGAGGCCTGTTTATTTCTTCTATATTTCATGTGGCAGTTCTTTCCACTGATGAAACTGTTGCTGTCTTACAGACCTACCTGTGGGAAATGACCAGTGGTGTGGAGGAGATCCCCACTGGGATCCTTAATAAAGAACATATCATCTTTGGCAACATCCAGGAGATCTACGATTTTCATAACAAGTAGGTTGGTGGAGGGTTTCAGAGGAACACACTTAGGGCCATACATACTGAACAATAGGGCGTCCCAACATGTGTGTCAAAGCAGGTTGGAAAATCTCGCCAAGTAAATTGTTACTTGTTAAATTTTCTAAGTCAGTTGCTGTCAGACTTCTTTGTCATTCACCCATATTTCTCCAAAATTGTTCAAAATTCCTAGTGGAAAGTGAAGTATTCAGCAGCATACTCCTTGGGGACCTAACTGACAATATCTTCATACCCAATCAGAATGATAACCAGGCTTTAAGGAAATAAAAGTAGCTTTTCCTCATTAAAACTGTGGAGAATCCTGACATTAGAATTCACCTAAGGCTAACAGTTCTACCTTGTGGGCCTTAGGTTTCAAAAATCCATTGAAGTTTCTGTTCAGCCTAAATATTTCCTCCCAACTCCCCCATCATCTCAACCAAAACAACAATGTAGAAAAGATAGATAGATAGATAGATAGATAGATAGATAGATAGATAGATAGATAGAGTACATAATGGAATGCATTTCTTGACAGCCTATAGGAGAGAACATCAATTGACCCTCTCTGTTGTGTTGAAATAAATAGAATCATAAAGCCCTTAAACCTCACAGCTCATTCTGTTCAACCCCCAACTTGATTTGAGAATCTTTTCCACAACATACTAAACAACATGTTCTATTTTTTAACATAGCATCAGCAAGAACATTGGTTAATTGGTTATATAACCCACTAATGGAAATAACTCAGTTTGCAAAATACAAATAGAGACTCTTAAGACACAAGGATTATGATGGTATAAAGTCCTAGAGCTCACTCAGGACCCTGTTCTGGAGAAGGGATAAGAGGTAGAGGTTCAATGTTGTAAGATAAAATTCAGAGGAAGTCCTAAGATCAGGCAAGTCAAGGCTCTTACTGAGCTAACTCATCATGCTGGAGCTAAAACCACCAGCTCCACGAGTTCCTAAGGAGGCCCTGAGTATAGGGGTAGCAGCCACCCTGAGGCAAGGAAGGCTCTGGAACAGCACTGCCCAGTAGAGCTTTCTGCAGTGATGGGAATGTTCCATGTCTGTGCTGTCCATTATGGTAGCCACTAGGCGTGTGTAGATATTGAACACTTGGAATATGATTAGTACTACTAAGAACTTAATTTTTAACTTTATTTAATTTAACAAATTTAGATGGCAGGTAGATACCATATTGAACAGCTCAGCTCTAGAAAATGAGACCTCAGTACGGCCCTTTGCTAAGAATGACTAGGAGGCAAAATTTGGTATAAAAGGACCACCCTGAGTTCTTAAAGGTCTAAATAAGGGGTGGAAAGTCACTCCTTTCTTGTCAACTCCTAATGATTAATCCCCTGTTATGTTATCAATTGGCATCATTTTAAAGGAAACATAAAATATGTAGCTCCCAAGACATGTTAACCTTGTCAGATTACATCAACAGTAAGCTCTAGGGGGGAAAGAACCATCTGACTTCCTGAAGAACTTAGTAAGAGTTCCAGTCTTTTATTTTTTTAATAACAATTTTAATACCGTCCATGTGGTTTGTTGGGAAATCTTCATACACAGAAATAATCTCTCTTCACACCTATTTAATAAGACCCCTGTAAAGCCATTTTGAATATTGATTCCAAATTCTATCATTTGAGCCCAGCTCAGCATTAGCCCATCTTCCCCAGGATATTTGAGAAGACATGGGACCAGAAAGTAGTAAGTCATGTTACTTTACTTTTATGATTTATAATCTCTGTGATACAGTGAAGAAGTCTCACTTTCCTCATATTCTTACCAACTGACTAAGTATCAAAGTAAAGAAGTCTAGAGATCACAATGTACACTTCCTATGAACCCTGCTTTTGCAAAATCAGTATATGACAGGGAGGGATATTTATTTCAAAATTGATTAAGTATAACAAAATATCTAACACAACCATGTCTCTTATCTGGTTTCACAATATTACTCTACTAAATCATGGTCAGCAATTTGGTTGTTTTTGAAATCTCTGAAAGTCTACCTACCAGTTACAAAGTATAGTTTAGTCTAAGAAATCCTTTTTAAAAATCAAGTTAAACTATATAGCATGCTGCAGACTGTAGAGAAATAAATTTAATGATTTAGCTACCAAGCAAATTTTACCTATTTACAACATTACAAAGAAACAAGGAGAAAATAAAAACCAGCCTCTGAGCAACCAAGAGAGCTATCACAAAGATAAAGTTCTTACCTTTTCATAGAATCACCTTTCTATTCTCTCTGTAAGTCACTTTACCTCTTGGTTAGATGGTTTCAAAGCTCAAGAAATTTATAAGCAGCAAATAAGAAGCAAGAAATTGAGCAAGTCGTTTCATACCAGCAGCATAAAGTAAAACTTGACAGGAAAGAAGACAAACTGCAGTAAAAGTAGGCAAAAGAATCCCAAAAACTCAGAGTGGCCAAAGACTATGTAGTATTGGTATAAATGGTTCTATATCCCATTATAGGGCCTAGCACAGCCACAGTCTGACAGGATAGCATATTAATTGATATTAGTAATAACCTTGAATAATTAGTGTATTCTACATTAAAAAGCAAGGAACTCTGTAATACATATGGTAAGCTATTCACCAAAGGAAAGAAATGTTTTAAGCTATCTACAATTTAAAGGAACATCCAAGAAAATCAAGCTGTATATTAATTTCTTAAAGGATCTAGAGGGCTAAGGCTTTACTCATAATGTATGCTCTCTACTTATGCCATACACATTTTGATTATTTGAGAAAGCATAACACTTCTATAATCTCTAATGAATAAGAGATATGGTAATTAAGCCAACTTTGAAAATGCAAGATCTATGAGCTCCATAGGAGACGATGCCTTTCACTTCATAACCTCAATACCTGGCACAAAGGAAACTTTAAGTAAATATTTGCTGGATGGATGGGCAGTTGGACTAAAAATAGAATTACAATTTGCAGACTTATGCCATTCGAGTCATAATTCAGTCTTTTGTTTGTGTAAATCTTGGGGTACAGAAAACCATTAGGTATGATTTTTCCCCATCACTACCAGAACCTTATAGATCAGCAAAATAAATATATATATGAATGAAAGAGATTCTTGGGAGCTTCTTAATGAGAGGACTCTTCAGGAGCCATTGTCTGAAATGGTCACTTTTTAACCTGAAAATTTCCAAGGTTTCTTTTTAACTCCAATTGTATTCATCTTTGCAAAGTTGCAATTAAGTGCCATCTAACAGAGAAACATACTCCTCACACCTCTAGTGTGTAGCTCAGGTTATCAGCTTATACTCCAGGGAGGGAGGGAGGGAGGAGATGGGGAGACAGGGAGACGTGGAGACGTGGAGACGGGAGACGGGGAGATGAGAGGTGGAGAGGCAAGGGACTGAGGTTGACACTTCCTGGATAACCCAATGAGCTGAGCCACTAGAAAAGTAGTACTTAGACCAAGGGTGATATTGTGTTGATTCTTTTAAATGGTGTCGCTTTGAAAAATGACAACCAAGATGGGGGGTGTATATTTCTTAAGGACCTTTATCTATATAAATATTTAATGGAGAAATTCCCAAGCACCGAAACTTCTATAAAGAAGAACAATTCAATATGTTTAACACAAATTGGAGGTTCAAATGGAATGACACTTCGTTTTTACCCTCCATTCTTTTATCCTATATCTCTTTCTACAGAGCTAAATATAAAGACCATGAAACTTATCTGCATAAGAATGAAATTGCATTTTATTGTATATTGCTAAGCATTCCACGAACACTCAGATATGGTAGTACAATATATCCCATAACTAGATCCCCAAACAGTTATGGTTGCATTCATGCAGTCTCCCTACTTTGACTACTTACAACTTGTAATTCAGGAAGATCATTTATTTTGTTTGCCTTGATTACTAGATTTTCAGCTGTTTGTTCAAAATATTCATCACTGTCATTTTAATCTGAACTTTAATTTTTCCTTTTCAGTTATTTGGAGATACAGTCTTATATATGTCTGAGCAATAACATTTTTATAAAATCTCTGCTGTCAGACTCAGAGGATCTTCTTCACTATTAAGTAAAACCATCTCCATTTACAAATATAGACAGTAAGATCCAGAGAGGATGCAGTGACTTGCCCAATGTGTGACCCGCCCCCACCCTTAAAGATTAGGCATAGATTGCAGGTGTGTGGCCTCCCACATCCGTGCTCTCTCCCCATCCCCGACTCCACTGACCACCGCTGGGACTACCAAATCTGATTGGTTTGATTCATCAGCTTACATGTGGATCCCCACATTTGAAGAACGCTTCAACTCCTGTCTTCCATAGATATGTCCTCCAGGTCCCACACCTTCCCATTAACTATCTGCAATAAGTCAATTTCAGCAACCCTTACCAGGGCTAGATATTTCTCCCGCACACTCCCTCCAGGCCTAGCACTCCTGGCCTGGTGGTCGCAGGCCCATGGCTGAGGGAGCAGAGCCAGAGCTCTGTGGGACTGAGCTGGGAGCTCTAGCCAGGCCAGGGTCAGCCTGCTAGGGTAGCAGGTGGCCAGGGTCAGCCAGGAGCAGAAGGTCGTGTGCAGCAGGGGCAGAAGACAAGGTGGAGGAAGTGCTGGGAAAGGCCAGGCCCACATTTTTGTCTTCTCAGAGTTCCTTCTTGGGCCAGCCCTGTACCATTTTGGAGAGGAAGCTGGTAGCTGGCAATGAGTCAAATCCAGCCTCTGCCCTCTGAGTTCCAGGAATTAGGTATCTGCGATAAGGATAGAGGCGAGAACGAATGCAGTTCAAAAGAGCAAAGAAAATAGCCTCAGTTGGACTAATAGGAAGGGCTTCATAGAGGAGATGGCATTTAAGATGGAACTTAAATAAGAGGATATTTTTAGGCAGAGATGGCTCCCTTAATAGAGGAGAAAAGTTTGAACAAAGGCCCTCCAAAGGAGGAGAGCGCTGAAGACTAGCAGGGAAGCTGAAAGAGGTAATGGGAGGAGTTCATGGGTGAGTC